CCTTTTGTTGGATGTTAATATCAAGAACAAAATTCCATCAGCCAATATCAAATTCTAAATTTTAGCCATTGATAATCTAAATAAAAATACAATGAACAGTGCTTTCTGTAAGGATCCAAACATCAACTTACATCTAAAACAACCCAGTTCTAAATGTGAGAATCTAAGAAAAATTCAGCTCAATTCCTAGAAACTCCATTTTAAAATTCAAACAAACTCAAATCTTCAAGACAAAGTAAATAGATTGGTATCAAGTATTTATCTTTATCAATGTTATATGTTGGAAATCGAATGGAAAAACTCTGGTGTATCTCAAATTCTTCTATTGTAAATATACCCTCTTCCTGTCCATTTCAAACTTCTCATTTCATTCATCCACTGGATAGACTGACAGAATATGGAAAAGATGAATGAATAAATAAGCTTCAAGTCAAGCTGTATTTGTGGAACATTGCACTGTAAATATATTCTATGAAATAACACAAATAAAATTTATGAAATAATTAAATATAACGAAATGATTTGGAGTTTTACATCCTAGATTTCAGCACTGAATTGACCTGATAATGTAGAGACAAGCCAGGACAGAATCTTTGACTTATACTTTACCTGTAATAATAGCAATCCCCACAGGCATCCGCTCTCAGTTCCCAATAAAAAGCAATGGATGGGGGAGGCTCTAATTTGGTTGAGAGGTGTCAACTCTATTTGGAAATAAAAATAGATACCTGTGGTAAAAACCATTATAATTTCAAAACCTATTTCATTTTATCATGTCATCTCTTCTTCAGCAAACAAATTCTTCCAGCATATCAATCTCTGAAATATAAAACCATTGAACATGTAATGCTAAAGCAGCTGGGCTGTGTGCTGGAAAGCTCGCGAAATTGCACGTGCTTGACCTAAAATGGCTGCATGTGGTCAGGAGAGGACTACAGGCGAATCGAGCGAAAGAATGAATGAAATTCAACACTTACTTACTCTGAAAAACCAATGCCTGCATTCTCTGCATTCTGCAACATTATTATAACAGAAATCAATCACGAAAATTCACATGCTTTCAAATCATGGCCGTCCAAACATGGCGCCTTCGTTTCACTAAAGCGCCACTGATATCAAGGGAAGTAATTCATCTGAAATTTAGTTACTCAGACTACAATTAATTTCCTTTTTTTTACAATTACTTCCTATCGCAATGAAACTGTGGTAGAAAATCACCTTTCTTGTCAGTACTAAATTAACAAGTGTTCAAAGCTTAAATCAAAAATATAGGAATCTTTATATATCATTCTGTAATTTTCGTTTCTTACTTTCTGAGGAGCATAAATCTAATTTTTAGACAATCCGCGGGAAATCTCAACGGAAGTAAGATTTGTAAACAAAAACAAACCACTTTATCGATGTCACTTTATGAAAGTTGATTAATCGCTGTTCCTTTGCAGTTTTTTTCCGAAAAGGTCATGTGTAGTCCTACCAAAAAGCTATAATTTTCCAGAGTTTCTGGTTGACTTAAAGATGCCCCAAGAATTCCACGTGTTACAATGTCACCAGTGTAAAACATTCCAAGTTCAGCAAGTAAAGAAAGTTTTAAAATGGAGTTGTAAATTATGTGGAGAGAAACAGTCTGTTCTTAGAGTAAGTTTTCTGTCACCTTTTTAGAATAAAAATAGTTTAAGGAACAAAAAATTCTTTGTGTTACGGTTTGTTGGTTCTAGAAATTTTAATTAATCAATATTTATTATAGGTATATGGACGAGGTAGTGGTGCTGATTGTCGTAAACATGTACAGAATCTAAATACATTACGAGGTGAACTAGAGTCTAACCAAGAAGAGAGGATTGTGAGTGCTAAAATAGTTGAAGAGGGGGATGTACATTTTCAACGTTTTCAGGTATCTATCTATACTCAAGTTAAGATATTTTTTCACAACTGACACAATGGTCAAGCTATTTGAATTGCGTCTTATACCTTAACTGCATCATATAATTTTGTAAATGCAGCGATTTGATTGGATTATGCGCCAGCAAATACAGCCAGTCGTTTTCCTTGACAGAAAGTCTTTCAACCAAAAAGTTTCTCGTTTGGGTGAAATAAGAGAGTGGTGTGATATTTAAAATTACGATATTTGGATTCAGATAGATTCTAGTGAAGTAGAAGAGAACATACAGAACAGTACTAGTAGTAAGTGGGAGAAATATGTAGAACCTCTGATTAATGAAGATGGTGATGATGTTGAGAGGGAAGATGATAGTCAATACACCACAGATAGAGTCCAGTACAATACTGTCAACAAACAATACAGAAAACATCAACGGTAGGTCTTAATGTAGCAGTTCAAACTATATGGTATTTTATTAAAAAGATTGTAAAGAGGTTTTCCAAATTTTGTTTTATGTGTATCAGGGAAACTGATAGCATCAATAACAGCTTTTGCGATAGTGACGTCTTCAAACTTATAAAAGTTTTAATGTAACTGTAAGAACCACAGACGTCTGACTGATTTAAGATTTAAGAAGCAAATGTAGTAAGTAATTTGTATTCTCAGCATGGTTGTCAGAGCTGAAAAGGTATCTGGATTTTTTCATTCAAGCAACAATTCTTTCTAGATAGAGCTAAAAAATAATTGACAATTTTGCTGTTTTTGTTTCAGGGATAGTTATAAGCAATATCAACCCTATCCTAGAGAGAGAAGCAACAGAGACAGAAATTCAAGATGGAAGGATCAGACCCAAAATAACAATGATGGAAATTCTGTGGAAGGCTTCAGTGAATTTGACCAAAGTTCTGATTGTAACATGAAAGGGCTTCCATCGGCTTGTTTGAGCTCGAAACCTGCTAAAAGGACAAAATGGGATAATTTTCACAAAATCTGGAAAATACTCTTGAGTGTTCACAAGAATCTAAAATGTATGTCCCCCACGAAACAAAAATTGTAAAGCCAAACTTTAATTTACTGGATTCATTTTTGGAGGAAGACTGCGAGGAGTCAGTTTCCAAGACAATGAATAACATTCCAAAGGTGGTTTACGAACACTCTAAAATTTCAAACAGTTTGAATGCTGATTATGCAGCTTTTGGAAAATCTAATGTTTCCTCCAGTTCTCAAGCTCACAAGACCAAAATTTCAAACATTGTGACTCAAAAGAAATCTAAATGGGAGACTTTTACAGACACCAGTCAGGATGATGATTCTGAATTTTATATACCAGATGACGACTCTCTAAATTTCGATAACCTTGACAGTGACCTTCGACCTGGGCCAAATTATAATAAAAATGCACGAGACAATTTTAATTTTTCGCAAACTCAGAATGAAAAAGATCCGAAAAGTTTTCGTTCTCAAACAGCCGAGTCTCAAGTGTTCTCATCTGACGCTTCATATATCTTGAATTCCAACTCTAAGTTAGTGCCGTCTATCTCCGGGAGAAAGGTATTCAGTGACCCTAAGACACCATGTTCTAAAGTGCCTGATAGTAATGTGATTCCAGCAAATCCTGCCAAGTTCAGCTCCAAAGACGAAATGTTCCAAGTAAATGATTTTGACGAGACAGAATTTGAGTTTGTGATTTGAAATAGATCATGTAATAAAATGTATTTAGTGAAATTCTTCTTGCTTATTTTGCTAAAAGTTTTGAAACATCACCCCCAGCTCCAAAATTGACTATCATGATGAGCAAGTTAGATGCAGTCTAATTAAAATTACTCTTAAACTTCCTTATTTTTTATTAGCTTTTATGTTTAATATAGTCACTTCAGTTATAGGGTTAAACGACTGCCATTGAATGTTTGTCAAATTAACCTTTCTCGTTTGTGCACCATTAAAAATCTTGGTCACCAAATCATAACTCTTGGCTGCTCTGTCACACTTTACTGGGTCACAAAAAAAATCTCTGCTATACTGTTTCAGCTTAGGTCCGTGTGCGTTCACAACTTACAACAGACAGTTTCACACATAGCACATTGTTTCCAAATTTCCATGCCAACCAAATTAAAATCAACTCACATATTACCCACAGTTTTCAACAAAGATTGCATTTGAAATGCCAAAAACTCCACTGAAAAAGATAAAGAATATGTTTTACACCTTGAAACAAGAAGATGAATTTACAATTTGATTTTGAGATTACAAACTTAAACGAGTTTACATAACGTTACAATTTGATGTACCTTAGCTTGGTTATATTAAACACATGCTCTGGTGACCTCGAAGAAGTCATCTTTCCTGTGAACCCTGCTGTAAATGGGTACGAATAAGACGTTTGGCCAAGGAACAGCTGGTGGAAAGGATCTTTGTGAACCAAAGTTGTTATCCTTGTAAAAATCAATGCCAAGGACCAGCTTGTAAAATCAATGCCAAGAGGTTTTCCCTAGGACCAGCTAGTAGGCAGGATCCTCGTGAACCTAAATTGTAATCGTTGTAGAAATGACTCTTTCTTGAAGATGGCTCTAGGGCCAGGAAATTACCATTGCAATATTGGTACACCCTTGTGATCGGGAGGGTTATAGAAAAGACGAAACTAACTTACAGTGAGGGAAAGATCCTCTTTTTACAACAGAATTGAGAAAGGATGTCAGAAATCTAACACATCTCGAAAACGTCGTGTCCATCTCTTCTATAGCATTGCCACTGAAAATACAAATAAAAACATGAATATTTGACAGTACAGTAACAATCACCAGTATGAAATATTCAGACATCTTTCACACTTTTGATGATAAACAATTTCAAAGATTCCTCAAAATTGGTCAAGGTGTTTACAAGCAATTGTGGACGGATGGACATGGGTTACACCAATATTCACTGCATATTTTTTATGTGGACGTATAAAAAATTATAATGGCACCACCAGTGCTTCTGAGAGTCTGTTTGGTTTGGAGTCAACTTTCGACCCCTATCACTTCATCAAAATTGACAAATGTCATCCCTAAACTACAGAAAAACTAAGGATAAACCGACCTGATTTCTTCGGCACCTTGTTCCCAGTAATTCTGGAAGACGAGGACCAAGTTGAGAACTTTACAAATGGCGTATTTGAGAGGACCTAGACTGGGGTCCAGTAAACAGCGATGATACGTCACATGAAGATAGTCAATATGGGCGGCAATTATCTCGTCTAAATCACCAGCTTTCTTCATATTCTTTTCAAATTCTAGTACTGTACTTGATAAAATCTGTAATATTGAATACAAATCATATCAAATGAAACTAGCTGATATACCATGGTTGGAAGTGTGGGCCAGTTATTTTCAAATCTGCTTTTATAGGGTGATAAAATAATATGAAATGAAGGGAGTTTTACTAGCTGATATACCATGGTTAGAAGTGTGGGCCAGTTATTTTAAAATCTGCTTTTATAGGGTGATAAAATAAGCTCATCTGCCCCCAAAATAAAGCCTGAGTACTGGCATACAAGTTATAAATTGTTTTCTTCGAGGTTAGAACAAGAAAAATAGGCAGACGTGGATAAAAATCTTACCCTAGTCATGATGTAGTTGTTAAAACTATTTACAAAATACAGTAAATTGAATCGGAATATCTGCATTTGATGAATTTTAGCAGAGGTAGATAATTCTGTATCTGAGGCGGGTTGATCTTTCATTGGACTTAAACTAAACGATTTCAATAAATTCTTCCTCTCCAAATCTGTAAGATATAAAGAAGTTAGGAAAATTTGGAGCAAATAGTTTCGTGGGAAAAATAATTGCTTCTTGTACAAAATATTGCTCTGGTGTTGGCTCTCTTCCTATTCTGCCAACCTGCCAGCAAAAAAAGTCCAAAAGGGACCAGCTGGTAGAAAGTATTCTTGAGAACCTAATTGTTATTCATGTAAAATCATTACCAAGAGTTTGCCCAAGGACCAGCTGGTAGACAGGATCCTTGAGAACTGTAGTTGTTATCCTTAGTTGTTATGGTTTGACCAAGGACCAGCTGGTAGACAGGATCCTTGAGAACTGTAGTTGTTATCCTTAGTTGTTATGGTTTGACCAAGGACCAGCTGTACATTAGTTACCCTCTGTTACAAACTGTTCTAAGTAATGACATGTTTCAGGTTCTGTTTTAGTTGTCTGAAGATCACACAGCATGACACTCTGAGTAACAACATGTTTCAGGTTCTGTTTTAATATTTCAAATACTGGATAATAAATTAGATACAGTACCTTTAAAATTGAGTTGTTCCAGTGAATATTGAGCTCGTTTGATTTGTAATAAGAAGGAGAATATTTCATTATATCTGGCCTGATACTTCTGACTGATTACCAAACTAGCTGGCCATGGTACCTACAAATATAGACAAGCGTTCAGTGTTATGCTATAAAGTACTATTTTTCCATTATACAAATAGATCCCCTTTCATTAACTCCCTGAAACAATTGCTTAACATTTCTGAATTATTTGTTTATCTTGTAAATCTCTCCAGAAGTAGGTAATTTCTTATCAAATTAATGTATTCCAATGCTGAAATCAATAGTCTCTACTTGTGACCTAGGTTAGTGCTTCTATAAGAGAGTTTTTCTTATAGAACCTTATACTACAATAGTATACCCACAAATGCATACAAGGGGCAAGTGTTATGTTTATTTTGCGATATCAGTATCCACTGGAAGCGAACGTTAACTTATCCTCTACCTACCTATACCTGTACTGCTATATACTATAATTTTGACGAGTGCTAGGTCTGGTGAAATACTCCATGATATGAAACAGCCAATCAGAGCCCTCGACAGAAACACTGCCAACAATGTTGACTCAACGTTATGACTTACTATTTACAAGCTAAACACCTTATCAAAAGAATTAATAAAAAAAATAAAACCAGTAGTATTTACCTGATAGTGTAGTATAATACAATCTGTCAGAGCTATGGGAGATCGGTCATTTTCTGTTGGGGGTCGCACTTCTACGCTCAGTCTGCAAAAAATCCCACAAAATATAACAATAATCAGACATGTTAAACAAAATTCAAATTATTAGGATAAATTTCGATGACGTCTGCTTTAACCAATCAAATTTCTACCCTCTCCAGCGCTGTCATTAGATCGTAACTGAAGTTGCTATATAAAGCCAATAAAAGCTAATAAAAAAACGAACGAAAGTTTGGTCTAATTTTATTCAGGCTGGAAATCAACAGTCAGAGTTATTTTTTCTAGAAATGTACGAACCTGTGGGTACAATGTGAAAAATGAGATTCTAAGGCATCTTCTAACATTAAACTTAAAATAGATTCATCACGCCATTCTTCATGTTTCTTGATCTGAAATATCAAATATGATACAAGAATAGTGCCTAAAGATGTCAAGGTATTAGATGGAGTTTGTAATAGCTTTACATTGTGAAGATTAAATGATAAAGATGTCAAGGTATATTACAGAGTTCGTAATAGCTTGACATTGTGAAGATGGTTTCTCTAGAATGTTGATACTTACCCTGTCAAAAAGATTGGAGTAAAATTCATACATAGTATCACCTGCTTCCATGAAAAAAAAACTCTGTAAAATATAAAGAACACAATCAACTAACAATTACATTACAATTTTGTTTCGTTATTATTTTTTTTGTAGGTCTTCATTGTAATCTAACGAGATTTATACCAAGTTCACGTACTGGTGACCTATCAAGCTATTTATAGCAGACAATCATGTGCCATTCTAAGCCCTGTTTCACAAAAAGACCATAAGAAGATTGATTGATGTACTTCATTAGCTGCTACTAATGTTTTGCCATTATGTTGTATGGATTCAGTCTTCGTTTAGCGATTCACATAGTTATTTCTTGAGAGACTAGTGTGATAGAGTCAGAAATAGAAACAAGGGACATAATTAAAAACAATAAACGTACCCTCATGTCTGTTAAATGTTGGAGTAAATTGTGTTGGTTTTTAACTATAAGGATGAGTTCGGGACAGACCTCCGCGTATCTGTCCTGTATATACGGGTACAGACATTTCTGTAGAACGATTTCTAGAGGCTGTAGACTGTCTAGATCTAACGTCTTTAAAACACTGAAAAACAATGGAATTTATATTAGAGAACCAATAATGCTGTATTCGATACCTCTCAAAAATTTGGAAGTCTCCAAGTCAATAGTAAACCTATCATCATGCCTGTAGCCAAACTTGATTGTAATTTCTTATGTTACAAATTCCTCCTACGTTTTCTAAGTCAAAAAATCCAAATCATTGTCTTGCAATTACCACACTAGTAGCACGAGAGTAGCGTTCGAAACCTGTGACTAACATTTTTACTCGCAATCATACGCAACTGGTGAATGCAAATTTTTCTCACCTAAGATCATCCTCTTTCTTGACGGCAGGTAAAATGGCCGACGTCTTAACCTCGTTGATGATTTCTTGAAAATTAATGGCAAGAAGAGGATCAAACACCCCCTTGGTTTTTAAATATTCTTCCATTTCCCATGCTGACAGTTGCCTGGAAGGAGTTACTGACCCTCCTGTTGGACTTGATGTTGCCCCTCCATATTGCGAATTTGGTTGTCGAGCAAGAGTAATGTCCCTTGGTGTTGCCTCTACTGTTTCTGAGGTTGAATTAGTTCCCAGTATCTCGACTAAATTGTTGATGAAGATTTGATACAGACTCTTCTGATCGAAATCTAGAAAAAGCAAAAACATTGGTCAGAAGGAAAAAAAGATATTCTATAAGGAACTAGAATTCAATTTCTAGAAATCTATTCTAACAAATGCGGTTACAGACCAAAAAAATCTCAAAGACAATTAAAAGTAAGCTCCTCCGCTGGGATCAAGGCGATGCTTAAAGATTACACAGAAAAACAAGCTTTCTTCCTTTAAATAGCAGAGAAAATAAGCTTTTCAGCTCCAAGATACAACTCAAGCTTTACCTGATCCACTCATTTTCAAAACACTTTCAGCTTTCCCCATACTCATCAGAAGTTCCATGGATTTGCCTGTCAATACAACCTCTTTGAGAACTGGTTTCAGGAATTTGGGAATGGTCGTGGCGTCACTGATATCAATATCCTGACTGATTTTAGAAGAACTCATATCAATATTACTCTTTAATCTCAGATCGAAGGCGCTCTCCCAGAAAGTTTCGTCAAATGATTGTACCGTCTTGTTTCTATAAGAAAAAAATCCAGATTTATCAACTTTTTCTAGTGTTGAACCCTGAGGGGTAGAGGATAGAGTAGAAGGATTCTATCTCAAGCAATACAAGGATTACTTAACCCCTTCAAAGACTCTAATTAACCTCTTCTAGTGTTGAACCCTGTGGGGTTGAGTATTGCGTAGCAGGATTATAAAAACCCATACGAGAGACTTATCGTTCTTTAATGGTGTTGAACCTAAAATGGCAGAGGATAAAGTAGTAGAAAAGATATTCGAGCAAAGATATTACAAATCCAGGTCTGATTCAAATGTAAGTTTCATCTGCATAGTCTCTAGTAAGATCTTTTAAGGTCCTCTAAATGGGGTCTTAATTTTGTCAGGCCTAACTAAGCTGCTAACCAAACAGATGACTTTAACTTTCATCACTGACAGACAGCTGTTAAATAAAAGGTAGAATAACCTTTGTATCAGAAAATCTTCTCGTGGGTCCTCCAGGTTTCCTGTGTTGATCCAGTCAGACAGAATGGTTAAGTATGGTTCACACGTCTGTATCCACATAATCAACAATAATCTTAGCTAAAATATATACAGACAAGGGCTATAACTCATGTTATTATTCACACATGGGCAATAACTCATGGTATTATACAGACAAGGGCAATAACTCATGGTATTATACAGACAAGGGCAATAACTCATGGTATTATGCAGACAAGGGCAATAACTAGTATTGTCACTTTTGTCATATCAATTCTTTAAAGTCAAGGACAATAACTCTTAAATAAAACACCTCAATATATAATTGTTATATGTAAAATCAAGGGCAGTAACTCTTACCTTATCTTTGTCTTGGCTGCCTAAAGTATCGTGATCAATCAGCATTTTAAACATGACATTGAGAAGATGTGAGACTTTCAATATATTACTGTCTAGCTCAGCAGCAGCTGCGATACCAGTAATATATATAGAGTAGACCAGATCAACTTTCTCAAACCACTGGTCTAAATCTTCACTTAAAACACTGAGCGTCATGGGTACCACTGAAATAACAAATTTAAGCTCACTATCAAAAAACACCAAGTACTAACGATCTGGGCCATCGTCCACAAAAATAAAATCTGATAAGCAACCACCTTCAATATATGACCACAATAAAGTCCTTCCTACAATTTTTCAATATAATTAACAACACTGATAAGGTCAGAGGGGCTGACATAGGTGAAGGCGTCTAATCGTTCAGATGGACAATAAACCAAGACCCAGTGTGCTACAGACTGTGCACGTTAAAGATTCCTCAATAGTTCGAAATTGAAAAAGAGAAGGCTAATGCCGCTGTCCTTGCAAAATTTCCCTCATTACACCCTGCATAGTGTTGCCTGTCTTCATTAGAACACATGGTGCAGAAAAGCAGGACATAAAACTCCATTTTTTTTCATTCTGCCACCAGCTATCATGTATTTACTCTCCCATGAAATCAAAATAAATGATCATTTCAACTCACATTGATCTCGAACTTTGATCTGCTCCACACTCAATCTCTTCTGATAATCATGGAGGAATTGGGTGAGAGTTCCAACAAACGCCTGGTAGCTCTGAGTTACCAGAGTTAAATCCTGAAGGTCACGCGTCTGTTCTAGTACATCCTCACAGAATGAGTTCAACGCCACGATCTTGTCTCCATAGCAAATAAATTTCTGAAGACACGTATCCAGGCATTCCTGAAAGAAAGGTAAAAAAAAATCAAATGAAATTCTAGCTTTTAAATACAAGAGAATTTCTTCACCAAATAAAGGCAATTTATTCTAATTCAACTTTTAAATTCAGCATTGTTGTAACATTAAGACGAGTTAACTGTAGATGAATTGACTGAACACCGTAGACAAAAGCCAAGGTAGTGAACAAAACTTACATCTGTTAAATGTGAAAGATAAACATCAGTATTCACACTGTACCTTCTTCCATCAAAAATAAATAGATACGTTTCTGTTACGCCCAATAACATCCTAAAATATTTCAACAAGTTTATACATGATATTAAGCGAGACTAAAAGGGATCATAAAGAGGTTTTCTGCATTTTTTTTATGTGTATCTGAGACACTGTTATCATCAATTTACACCATTCCAATTGTCAATCAGACGTCTGTGATTCCTGCAATTCCACTATGTGTTTGATAATCGAAACTTAAAGTGAGGTTTTCTGTATTTTCAGGAGACACTGACAGCATACCAAGTTTCAATCAGACGTCTGTGATTCCTGCAATTCCACTCAAACTCAATTCATCTATAGCTTAGTGTTTGACGTCACATATTGCAAAATACGCTTCATCACATAAGGCGCTTTACAATAACTCAGCGTTAAATGACGTAGTATAACCTACCATAATATCTCTCGTATCAGCTGACTCTCTGTTATAAACTCGTTTCTACTCACATGAAAGGGATTATCACTAGCCTGGAATCTCTCCCTAAAAATAACCTTTCAACATATCATTCCTATCACCAGGCCTGTAGATACAGGAGGGCAATGATAACATGGATTGCCCCCCTGTAAAAATCCTGGCAACCAACCAAACAGTGGTGGAGCCAGGTTCATTAACTGCTTCCAATGTTTGACCAATATGTTGTTTGGATTTCAGGTTTCATTTTGCGGTTCAGATTGTTAGTACTTGTTTATTTATTCTAAAAAGAAAAGAAAATAGCCAATCTTACCAATGGGTATGAAGATTGGAGGTTGGAAAACGACCGATGGATTCCTGTTCATTTCCTCGACCAATCCAATACTGTACCACAAGATTTCTCTCCAACCAATCCTTCACTTTATCTAGAGTACATCGAGCATCACTTATTTCCGCTACAGTCTCTAATTCTGATTGGTTGATTACTGCTAACTCCTCCTCTTCTGACTCCTCCTCCTCCTCATCCTATCGAATTAAACGTTACAAATTAAACAAAATTACACATATTTAATGATACACTCTTAGTTTATAATCACTAAAACTAAGTGTTTGATGAAGACACTTATCGCTAGGGGCCTTATGTGATAAAACATATTTTGAGATTAGTGACATCATCAATACCACAGATGTCTGGTGGAAAATTTAATAGCACAATATTGATGATATCAGTGTCCGAAATACACATAAAAAATTAGGAAAACCTCTTTACAATCCTTTAAGAAAGGTTTGATAATAAGCTAAGAGATATTTATAGAAACTTACGGAGGTATCTGAGAAGTAATAACGTCTTGTGTCAACCCCCTCTAATAAATATTCTCCCCAATCAAACTCTTCTTCTTTACTCTCTATATAATATACAATATTAATCTTCAATAAGTTCACATTTTCAACCCAATTTCCCTCTGTCAGTGAGGCATGTAAGAGGGCTGACATGGAAAAAGCGCCTAGTTGTTCGGATGGGACAATAAACCACGGCCCAGTCTACAGGCTGTACACGTTAAAGATCCCTTAACAGTGTTGAAAGTAGAAAAAGAGCAGGCTAATGCCGCTGTCCTGACAAAATTTCCCTCATTGCACTCGCGTTGCCCGTCTTCATTAGCCCACATGGTGCAGAAAAGTAGGATGTAAAACTCCATTAATTTCATTGCATTTAAAGTATATTTAGCTATAAACTAACCTTCTGTAACTTGTTTTTTTTCTGTAAAAACTGTTTCTGTAGGACAATCAGAGAGATCTAACAGTACAGACAAGACACTGTAATGTGCATCAGTCTACAAAATATTATCATTCATTAAGTTCAACAAATTATAAAGTGGGTGTCAGTAAACAGACCATGTTTACTCTGTTGGAAACACCTGAAGATACTTTGCCTTTGAGGATTAACTGCTATCAATTGTTTTAGATTTCGGGTTTTGTTTTGCAGTTCGGATTGTTAGTACTTGGTTTACTTATACAATTATTGCTCCAGATTTTGTCATGCTTTGGGCCAGATTTTTGGTTACTGGAATTGTCTTTCTTGTACAGATTTTAATTATTTACCTTGGTTTGAGTAGAATTGTTTGTTAGTGGAAGATGTAGAAATTTTTCTATCAATTCCTTCAATTTGTCAGATTTATCTTTTTGAGAATGGACGGCAAACTTCGTAGCAATACTGAAACACAGAAAGATAGCAGATTTAAATAAAACATACTTTTAATTAATAGAAATATTAAAACAGAACCTGAAACATGTTGTTACTCAGCGTTTCACAATACAGGATCCTCAGACAACTGATCTATTTCATCCTGCGTCCCTACTGAAGTTCGACAAGTAGTTATCTTCAGACCACTGATCTACTTCAGAAATATAATTCTTAGCCTAGAAACCTACCCATCAAGTCTTCGAGTTATTTTTGTAGGATCAACACTCTGAAATCTGTGGTATTTAAAATTATTAACAGCAAACTGTAAACACAGCTCAAAATTCTCGTCCCCTTTCTGAAAAAAATTAATATTTGACAGTGATTTTTGATCAAAATTCAAAACTTTTTAACCCTCTTTGAACACCAGACTGTAATGAAAACAACTATATTTTACAAGGATAACAACTTAGGTTCACAATTAAGGATTGAGGCAAATTTTTTGAAAGAGGGCTCAACTATAGCGTCTCAACAAGTCATTTAAGTCATCTTAATTTTTCAGGGGGGGCTAAGGCCCTGTATCTCTCCTCTGCAAAGAAAATAAAAAACAGACAATATAGGATATGCAGTACTCACCTGAAAGCCTGTTATCTGGGTGATTAGTCTTTTGACATCACTGTCACTGATGCCAGACATTTCAGTATCTGATCATAGAACTGTATAGCCTAAAAAATATGAATGCACCAGTCCAGTGGTAGGCCTAAGTACCAAATCACCAAATTGCAAAAGACCCCCGGCTTCGCCAGGCAATTGATCTGGGGGCCGGTGTTCTACTAAGAGCTACTAGTTTTACTATTTGTGATCCAATCAATGCCAAGGTGACAATATCTCCATTCCGTTTCTTGGAACCAGTTGACAGAACTAAGCTAGCAGACAATCATTTTCTAAATTGGAATCCATTCCCGCTACAGGGACACTTCGACCCTAGACGTGTCGACCAAAACCGATTTGACGTATTTTATTCCAAGATTTAAGCCGTTATATTTTTGGAAATTAATGGAAATATGTTGCTTCGACTTCATAAGAAACGTTTTCTAAAATTAAAAATTTCTGTAGGGCGATTTGACTGAATTTCTCAGCCGGAAGTTGACATTTGTAGGTGAAATGGTGGATTGTGGGTAAAGGTCGTAGTTTGTTTTGTTTTGGTATGACTTGGCATGGGAAAATCAAAATGTATCGGTAAATATTCAAAGAAAATTGTAGTTTTTCACTTAGCTAATCAGATAGATCCTTTCTAAAGTGTCCCGCCATTGATCAAACTGATTTCCATCGTGAAAGTCATAGAATTTGCCTGATTATGGTACTATTTCGCGCGCTCTAAGAAAAAAAACCATTAACACCAACCTGGCAACAAACTAAATCGTCCCATGTTATGGCCATCATAGCTTGACCATAATGGAAGTTTAAGTTGACCGACAGCTTAGCACTTCATGCGTTTGTTGTTTATTCTTCCTGCTGACCTGTTCTGTTATTAACTGCCCCTTTCCATGTTGGATGTGGGTAGGCAACATTGGCACAGACTCAGAGGGGACCGTGAAGTTTGCTGCTGTAGACTAAGTTGGTGATGTCTGGAAATATTAGGAGCCTGATGATCGTCTTGACATGTTGAATCGTCTAGTTGTCAGGCTAGTTGTATCAACTACAACAAAGTAAAATGGTTATTTTGGGATTGGCTTACATCGGTTGACATGTAGACGAGTCAACTAAACACCCTTAAAAGTTCTGTGGACCCCTTCACCCAATGATCCTTAGAAAGAACACTGGCTTAGATCTGTTGATTTGAAACTTTGAAACTAGATTTCATTGGATATGTCACTAATATTTCTATTTATTTTGTAGGCAGGAATCACCAGAGTTAAAGAGAGGGAGCAGATCATGTTATTGTTGTCGGCCATTTGCTTCCGAGCTGAACGAATTGGACATGGCTCTTAATGAACTGGGAATGCTGAGTTGTGTTACAAATAGCCGTGAGGAATACGTACAAGAATTAAAACATAGTCACAGTCAATCGTATCTTACTGATAAAAACGAAAGTTGTGTTCTTAAACAGAATGGACTGAAAATAATACAGATTGATACAGACTTTGTGACAGGCGTAACCATGGATAAACCTCGTAGAAAATATTCACTACAGCCTGCAGTCACAAACGGACATTTAAGTTATAATGATTTTGAACCAGTTTCGTCTCACTGGAGAAATAGTTATAGAAATCAGTTGAATTCTTTCGAAGAAGAAGCACGAAATAGTCGTTTGATGAGGATACGGAATTCTCGATTGAGACGTTTTCGTAAACCTTACAATGTTCCAGGAAGACTATATCATTCCATGCAAGAACCGGACATTCCTCTTGATTTTGATAATTCTTCTCCGAAACATATCTCAAAATCAAACTCTAATTCTCCCAATAAGATAACTACGGGTACCCTAACACGATCTAAGTCACTGGATAATCTAGACTTGGCACGTTTAAAATTAACAGAACTCTGTCCAGATAGTGTTGAAGATAAACAGTCAATAGACCAGGTCTCGTTTGATTTCAATAATCTACAAGTTAGCTAATATATACACGTTTTAGGATTTATTTTAATTTTAGAATTATCTTCCCTGGTTCCTTGAATTATAATCTATTAAGACACTATGTATGGACTCAGCTAATTTTCTCTACAACAGGTCTTTTCCTGGCTTATAACATCTTATAGTTCGTAGCAAGACAATTCCATCAACCAAAAATCTAGTCTAAAGAATGACAAAATGGGGAGTAAAAGACATCGTCAATGTTATATTTATGATTTAATCGCCAACAAAGCTCTCATTTTGTGAAGGGATTAGAATTTTTCACATTAGTGTTGTTTTAAACAAATTACTTGCATTGATATCTGATTGAAAAAAGCCTTTCGAGAAAAAGCCCTATTTTTATTTGATTGTATCATTTTACTAACATGATTGGACCTGTATAACAATGTAAATTAAGCCAGGAAATGAAGAGAGAATTAATTTTGCCAGCAAGTGGTTGTGATAAAGTTACACCAGTGATTATTGATATATCAACTGTATTATTGGGTATTTAATTTTCATTTCAACATCAAGATTTGTTACCTTGTTAACTCCTGTCCATTTTTATAAGATGGCTGATATTTTAAATATAATGGTTAATTAAAACCCAGTCAAATTAATATTAAACCAAACTTTCATTTCCTTTCGTTTTTTTGTCAGCTGTTATTTTTAATAAAGCCACTTCATTTGGGGTCTAAAGACGGGCTCCTTCAACATTCGTCAAAATAACAAATGAAAGTTTGGTCTCTACTCTTTGAACCCTGAGTGTAAATGAAATATAACGTCATGTACCCTGAACTCCAAGTAATAAAAGTAAAAGCGTATGATGTTAACGTTGTATGACGTCACTTAGTAACGGCTGTTATACTGGCTGCTCGGGTATATATTGCGTTAGTGTGTGGCCAGTAAACTGGCCGCTAGGGTGAAAAGGGTTAATTAAATGGTTAATTATAGTTCTACGTTTTTCAAATAAAAATGTTTAATAGGTAATTGTGTTTTTTTAAATTAATATTCATCTTCCATATAACAAAAAAAACATGGTTAATTTTTCTATGACCTATACTCGCATTTTTTGGTTCAGCATTTTTCGGAAGAATCTCATAAAATTCTGGTCAAATTAATGTTAATTTTCTTCACCATTTTGCTCGAAATATTAATGGATTTAAGAGAATTTTAATGAAATTTGTACAAATTGTTTGCAGCTTATTTATTGAGATTTTTTAATTCTAATTGTATAAATTAAATGTCTGTTTTTTTTATCCTATAATTGTATTAAATTTTATCAAATTTAAATGCAGTTTATTATTTATTCCTTGGTAAGTCTTAGCTAGTCTTTATCAAGATCCAATACAAGTTCAGACAGTGCTCAATAAAACTTCACTTACTCTCTCATGATTGATATACTTCGTGTGAATAGTTTTGCACCAGACAGGGTATGCTTACTCTTCTAGACACCTGATACCGCTTTTCAATATACAATACTTGCTCATTTATTATTGATACACCTCCTTATGTGAAAAATTCATTAGCTGCTACCCATGTTCCACCAATATGTTGTGTGGTTCGGATCGTTAGTACTTGGTTTATTTATGATTAAAGAGAAACAAGGACATGCAATGTAAAGAAACTTTAACAGAATATACCATACCCACCTATGATTCTGTTTACAAACTGAGACTTGAACAATCTTCCAGCAAGTTAAAAAGATGGACTGACGGACAGAAACAATACTTCTTATGTCCTGTTACCTACAATGATTGTAATAAAGAGTTAGAAAAGACGGACAGACTTAATATCTCCTCTAATGAGGTGTAACCTATATTGATTGAAATAAATATCAATCAAGTAATAATATAACACAATATCGAGAATTTCCTTTGATCTTTTCATTGTATTAACAAGTGGGAGGAGCCTAGCTGTGCTATAACTTGATTTAATTGACATCAGGATTCACTGTAGTTCAGTGTTACATGGGTTTACTCCAGAAAACAGTGTTATAAATATTACTATAACCACAATTTAACAATATGTTTGACAGACAGACAGACAGGGGAGATAAGAATGAAATCCACGACTGATTATAATTTCTAAAAAAGAAACCATGACAACAAGTTTTAATGTTGAACAAATAAAAATAATCTGACACAATAAAAACAAATCTCTCTAGCATATACACTGAGCAAATAATCAATGGTGATAGAGTGAGTCACGAATTGTAAGTTTTCAGACGCAGGGTTTGCTCACTTGTGTCCAACTCACAGCATATCAAAATACAAATGGTTCTTGCATGGAAATAACACACGAACGTAGCTGACAACCAATATGAATCTCTACCTCAACATAATAAATCGAATTTTGAAAGAAGCTGCAAACATATTAAATTGAGGAGGAGATTCAACATGGTTGTAAACTACGTTTGTACGTGTTATTTCGTTATAAGAACCAATCATAGTTTCGTATGTGAGCCACTGCGGTACTTTATATATCATTTCGATGTACAATATTAATGACAATATGAAATATAGGAGACATTTTTCAAATATGAGAACAGATAGTAATTGAACAAACACCCCTAAGATCAATAATGGACAGTTCTACACATGCATATCATCACATTACAAAGACTGAATTGGAGCATGTGTGGAATAGTTCATTTAGAATCAAGGGTTATAATGTTAACCTTAAGCCCAGACTATCTTTGTCCGCTACACATGCGCGTGTATGTGTGCGATATACAGATTGTGGAGAAATGGAGTTGTTTAAAGTGATTTTTTCACGCTTACTGATACGTGCTGCCCTCGAGGACAAAAGGAATCTGGGCCTTAATGACAAGCATTTAAATCTAGCATTTTAAAGTTATTAAAAAAGAATACCTGCACCAACCAAATCAAATCAAAGTTAAAATCAATTAAGTAGTTTGCCATCACCAAAGCTTCATATTTACATTTAATTAATTAATTAAAATTATTTAAAATTCACAGTAATTAAGTACTAATGATTAGGTTATGTTTGAAGCAGACGGCAACTGTATTAGAATCTTAGAAAGGCCATTTACAGCTGAAATATTCAGTTAGAAATTCACAAAAAGAAACGTGCAAGCGAACAAAATCATAATAATAATGTGGATTAATACTCTAGGAGCTGATATTCCGATGCATGAAAATAATCAGTAAAATTAGATTTACCAACAGAAGTTTGAGGACAGTAGAATCTTAATACTTCAAGTAGAAGACTGAAACATAAAAGTTCTCTTAACATCATCTGTGTATAGTTGAGAATAAAATTAGCCATCATGATTATTGAGCACAACTCAGTTGCATGAGAGATGTGTTCGAAATATATAAACACAGTAGGGAATACAAATAAACAGCTGTTACATCTCACACCATAGTGATAACCAGTCGTGTATGGTTACGAATGCAACAGATCTCTGAGTTGCGTTGGGTATTCATGAGCACTTTCATTATTTACAACCATACACAACTGGTAATCACTATGGTGTGAGGGCATCTTTTTATTAAATAAAATCCTGGTATTTGATGGTGTATTATACAAGTCTGAAACTTAAAGAGATTATAAAGAGAGTTTCTAAATTTTTATAGATATCGAGGACACTGATAGCATCAATTTACATCATTCCAATTTTCAATCAGACATGTATGGTTCCTGCAATTCCACTTAAACTAAGTGTTTTGCGATTAGTGACGTTGTCAAACAGTTTTATTTCGTATTTTGTGGAATTGCAGGAACCATACATGTCTGATTGAAAATTGGGATGGTATAAATTGATGCTATCAGTGTCCCTGATATCTATAAAAATATAGAAAACATGTTTATAATCTGTTTAATAACAGTAATGATGATATGTGAATAGAAATCAATCTGTATACTTAAAGCAATTTTTGGCAACATTAAGCGGAATTAAAAATTAGCACATTTTTAACCATTTTATATTTCTTAATTCTACAGAAAATATATACAGAAACCATAGCAATAGCATATTTATTTTCCTTCATTTATAGGTCAAATAATGACCACATCATCTGGGTACAGTGGACAATAAACTGAACCTCTGATGTGTTGGCTTATCATTACACTAACAACAGCACAGCCTAAATCTCACAAAATATTAACCAGGGATTATATGACCTAATCATTACAAAATATATGTATTTCAAATATAAATTATCTTGACTTAAGAGTGATTTAAACAGAATATTTTGTAAATTAAAAGTTAAAAGGTTAATTAAGAAAAATCATTAATATATAACAAATAAATTAATTAATTAATCAACAATCCATTAAAATTAACAATAATTAGCGAACTTTCATCTTATACTGGAATGTAAGAAAGAAAGGAAAATAAATTACAGCTCAAACACGTCAATAAAGTGTCCAAAATTTTGAAAATTGATTAAGATTGAAGATATATATAAACAGATATACTGAAACAAAAACTTATACAATGGCTTTCTTTAAATTGCAAAGATTTTTTTTTTAAAAGAAAGAAACAACTATATTTTACAAGGATAATAACTTAAGTTCAGTTAAGGATCCTTTCTACCAGCTGGTCCTTGACCAAACCTCTTGACATTATAATACGTAGAATTGTCCTTGTTTGAGCTGTAATAAATATTCACTTGAGCCAGTCAATTTTAGCACTTTTATTTGGTTAACGAGTTAGCCCTACTTAATAACAAAATATAATAATAACATCAGCTTGTAGCAAACATCTTAGGGTGCAGTGGAGACACGAACAGACTTGATTGCAGCTTTTTGTCACTGACTAGAATATAGAGTAAACTCTGGCATATGTTGACGCTTCCATGACAAGATTATCGTGTCCCTGACAGGATTTATAATATCAAACAAGTTTGATAACTGTCTCCGATTATTTTATCATCATCCAATCAGATTCATTTTCCTTTCAATTGCATGATCCACACATGATTATTGACTTAGTGGAAAACACTAACTGGAGATTGTGCGTAGCCAATCTTTTGACTTTTGACAAGACTCTAGTCGGCCACAAAAAATTGCCCACCAAGACCGTCGGTGTGCCTGCACCTTTAGGGATGAGATGACTATATATCTCTTAAAATATATTTTCATGAATATACATTTTAAAAATATTGAAAAAGCGAATATGCCATACAAAATAATCAAACTTTGCCTTCACTGAACAATTTTTAGCACAATGATAAAAATAAACAATAAAATGTAAATTTGGGGAAAATCACAACCAATTACAATGGGAAATAATCTTTAAACATACTTTAAAAAACAGTGGAAAAACCCAAAACTGTTTTCAGTTAAAATGTAAATTTTATGAAGAAATCACAACCTATGAGATTGTAAGTGTTGGGTGTTTTACAATATACAATAGCAAAAAAGCTAAAAAAAAGCTTCAACTTCTTATTTCAAAACACATAAAATATATTACATGAAAAAATACTGTTATTATTCAGTCCTATTTGGCAAAATGCCTGCTGTTATAGGCTCCATATATATTATTCTGAAACTCTTTTCATAAATACAAAATTATGATGAAAACGTAAATATATATGCTGGTATAATTTGTGTTTCTATTTCATGGTTCTCTTACTTTCTCCTGTGAATAATATTTTTGATATGTCTAAGTTAAAATCAAATATCTTTCCACGATGATGATATTCTGGTAACCATGACAACTAGTCGTCAACACGAATCCATCTCTGTATAGATCTTATTAAACATTCCACCCATCTAAAATAGATATAAAGAGTTATTTTCTTAACGATTTGTAAACAGCTTTCTAACATAAGTGAAATGAGTTTGACCTCCTACTCTGCCATGTCATGCACTGCATCAAGTGTGGAGGGATCTTTATAAGGCACAGGTGTAGCAGACAGGGTCGTTGTTCATTAGCTGCTACCAAAGTTTTGCAAATATGTCATTTTAAGGTTCAGATCGTTAGTACTTGGTTTATTTAACCCGTACAAACAACTCAAAACTCTTCCAGCCCCTAAATACTGAATCAAATGTTTGAAACACAAATGGTTTCTACCCCCACTGATCTGCATCATGGTCAGTTAAAACAGAGCCTCAGTTTATAGTTGAAATTAAACAAGAAAGTTGAAAGAATCCCCAACCTTTGTTTATCAGTTTGATTATCAGCACAGAAATAAAATGTTCTCATTGATTCTTCAGGTGGATGTAGGACAAAACTAAACTTCTTATTATTATAACCTGTAGCGTCTATCTTATAACCATGGAGATGTACCACACCTTAATAAGAGAAATGGAATACATTGCACAATATAATAACTAATAGTATATGAAACATTGAGTTAATAAATGTTAAAAATAGTATATCTATATATCTAGTGATTCTTTACATATGTCCATTTCGAATAACAATATGATTATTCAGAACAGTTCTTTTTAATATCTCCATGTTCAATAATCTAATCTCTACCTTAGTCTGTTTTTATTCTTACCTTTAGCACTGAAAGAGTTCATAGATTTATAGTAATATATACAGGCATCTTTTAATACACAGTAACGTTTCTGCCAGGTTTTATGTTGCTGTCCTAGTTTTGTTAGACAACCTGTACATTCCGGTTTGCGTATTTCTAACGCTGGTAGTCCCACATTATGGCTACTCACTTCTAACCATGAATCTTTCTGAAATTTCAAAATAACAAGTTTATAAGTCTATCAATTCAGTGACTACATCAGCTGAGATTCAAGACGGCCACAGGCTCTCATATTGGGTACTGGTGGAAGGTGTACCATTTTAAGATGCTCTGGAAGTCATTTTCTATATAGAAATCTTTTCATCTCTCAAACAAAATTTCTAATAGTTACCACTAGCTAGAAAAATAGAGAAATCTGGAATCCCAGTCTCATTCAAATTAGATCAAACTTTCGTTCTGTTTTTATTAGCTTTTATTTTTAATGTGGCCACTACAGTTTGGGTCTAAAGACAGCCTTCTTGAACAGTTGATAACATGGGCAGCCAATCAAATTTCTTCCCTCTCCAATGCGGGGATTGAGAGATATGAGACTCACCCTTTTTTTGCACCTTGCTGCAGCTTCAGTTAAAACTCCAACCCATCTAGAAATAAATATCAATTCATTTTAGTTTTAATACGTCTTTAAGTGATTGTAAAGAGGTTTCTAAATTTGTATGTGTATCAGGGACACTGATAACATCAATTTGCACCATCCCAATTTTCAATCAGACGTCTGTGGTTAAATAATAATCCATTTACATTTCTGCTATCACTCCCTTTGATAAACAAGTTATTTTGTCATTTATTCAGTTTGTCACGTGATCAATTGCGTTTATACACCAATAATGCTAGTGAGACCAACGTTTAATTTAAGTAAAAGACTATAAAAAATTACTGTGACATCTCTTCTCTGTTGTCAGTCATAAAATAATAAGTCTTAGCTCCGTATTTCTCAGCCTTAAAACAGTAGTCTTTAGTGGTATCTATATATCTTGATATACTATAGCCTGATAGAGGTACAGCTCCTAGAGGGTCCACAACCTATAATAATAATAACAAGTCAGGCAAGGCAATACCCTGCTGTAGGCAATGAGGGATATTTAAACTGCATTTACCCATATCCATTTTAAACAATACTTCTGGTGTCAGTTTAATATCCCATCAAAATGACTTGATCTTTTTTCATGTTCAGGTTCACTGACACAGTAATGGGGTCATGGGAAAATGATAGTTGCTAGACAATTAGGTGAGTGAGTTCGAATCCTCAAGGTGAGAAAATTTCTGATGCCTATGCTGGTGCTTTCATCTATCCTCTTCTCCTAGAAACAATCAACCCTCTTCTCTTAAAATAATTACTCAAACAGTGGAATAGCTCAGTCAGTAGAGAATTGGATCTAATGCCTGTGCCAGTGCTTCCATATATGCCCCCCCCCTTCCCCCTCGAAACAATCACGCCACCTACCTGTTCGTTCTTATAATAATAGAGACAGTTATCTTGTCGTAAGACGAAGTATCGTTTCTTCCACATTTTAACCAGGGTGGAGGTACCTAGTTTTAACATGTAACCAGACATGATAGTTTGTTGTATATCTCGTACTGGAGTAAAATCACTGTAGGCCACTTCAACTTTTACTACAGACTGACCTGAAACATATCATATTTATATCTATCAAAGTTTGAAATGAAGAAAATCAGATTTGATAAGTGTTACAGGCTGTAAAACCTCTAGAGCAATACAATCTCGGCCTCCATTGTAATATATATGAAAGTCATGTACTGGTGTTGTTTCAAGCTATTTATTAATAAAAAACAATCAGGTGTCCTTCTCAAGCCAATCAAATTAAGTTTACATTTTCAAACAAATCTCATAATCTCATTGGTTGGTCATTTCGCTCTACATTGGGTTTGCTATCCAACAATTCATACTCGATATTAAGACAAAAATTTCAAACGAAAACTTACTTTTCTGAACTAACTGTATTATTTCATCATGAGCTAACTCTAGAGTGTTCACACCATTAATAGAGATGACAATCTGTCCTTCCCGTATACCACAACGTTCTGCTGCACTACCTAAAATCATAATCCATTGATTAGCAGCAAACACGACAGTATTAAAACACTTGTTGATAGAGCATCAAGGCACTCTTTCACAAAAAAATCTTTTTTGTTGTCAATACGGAATATTTCTCTGTAAAATTCTACGCTTTTTTTTTTATTTTTAGTGGAACGAGGCCCAAGTCTGCAACTTTAACTTTTCATCTACTGACCAATCAATAGACAGTATAAATAGACGTCATAAAGCGCCTCGTTTTAGTGGAATTGCAAGAACCACAGACGTCTGATTGTATATTAAAATGATGCTAACAGTGTCTCTGATACATGTTAAAAGTTAAGAAAAACCTACCTGGATCAACTGATGTAATGAAAGCTGGGTGACTATCTAGAATATGTAACCCAAAATCATTATCATTGCCTGTTTTCTCTATTGTTACTAGCTTTTCTTGATCTACAATAATAATATAAACATCAAACGTCAATACTTCTCTCTAATGTTGGATTGGAACACTGTTGTTTTTGTGGCAGTGAAATAGCCCAGTCGATAGCGAGTTGAATTTTCATTAGGTTTGGAAATGGGAACCAGAGTGAACCCTTTCTTGTAGACATTCAATAACCAGTACACCCCTTCCCTGCCCACAAAACCAGACCTGCCCTTTCTGCAATGAAAGTTTTGACCTACCGTAAACTTTAGCTGACATTCTGTGGTACTCTTGTTGGCTCTCTTGTCTTCGAATCAGACATCGTCTACGTGACCTGTATGACCTCTGTCTTTTAAACTCCGTTTCAGACAGGGTGGTGGAAGTTGAATCAGAGCGTTTATGTCCCATTGCAATCGGTAAACTAACAGCTCCATCATTGAACACCGTTTCATCTTCTAAAATAAATAGGAAACATTGTTTTCAGTATTGGTAAGGGTAATAGAGGTAGAGTAATATACCAAAGATCTATAAAAGGGATTATAAAAGACTTTCTTAATTGATATCAGGGAGCATTCCAATTTTCAATCAGACATCTGTGAATCCTGCAATTCCACTAAAACTAAAAGACGTAGCTATCAGAAAGGCCCTAAGATATTGTTTGAAGTATTTTATCAGAATGAGGTTGTGTAAAGGGGAGATAATTTAATATACCTGATACCAGGCGAAGTATTTTATCAGAATGAGGGCGTGGTGTTTTCTCCTCGGCTTTAGAATCTAACAACTTGATATTTTCCATTTGTTCATCATCCAACTGTATCCATGTTGAATTTCTATGACTTTCGGCATAAATTCCTGAAAATAAATGTGATTAGGATTATTGTTTATATATTAATATGTCCATATCATTAGTTATATATCGGCTATAGTATTCTCATTCAAACCAACTTCCATGTTGTTCATTAGTTACCACCAATGATTTTGAATACGCCATACAGCATGTATGGACACGATTCCACTCTAATTCCTTCGTCATACGAGGGAAATGTAATTTACATAGCCTATGTATTGAAATTTATATATCAAGCCATATATTATCATATCATTATACATAATATATAATACATTTTAATATATATATTAATAAGATATAATATATTATAAGCCTCATTGTTTTCATATTCAAAATGACTAAAATATCATTATTGCTCAAAGTATTGAAAGGAAGAAAGCATTGAAAAAGAAGACTAAATAACCAAGACTGACATAAAAAGACATGACAATCAAGCCTACCTGAATCCTCGTCAGAAGAGTCATCACTGATCTCGTCATCTTTAACTGATGATTTACTCTTATGTCCAGACGCCCGTCGTCGGATTACACAACTCGTATCCTCTACACCAGTTACCGCCCCTTCCTTTCTCTCACACTGTACTGTTGAGGCTTTCGCTAGCTCCTCAGTCTCTGAACTACACGCATTCTGATTGGCTGAGACACTTGAATTCTCATTGGCTACACAATTTGCTAATGTGGTACAGTTATTTTGATTGGATGAATTGTCAGATGCAATATGACTCAGCGATTTTGGGTGATTTTCATTGGTTACTTCTGCTTTGGAAGAATGTTGAGACAAAGGTTGTGAATTTGTGGTAAAAGTTTTCGAAGATGATGAACACTGTCCTGAGTTCAAGGAATGGAGATTTCCGTTTCAGATTCACAACCGTCAATTTCCATGCTGTTTCGTGAAAAATTTACAATATCGCTGCCATTTTCTGATTGGTTATCGTCAGGAGATTCGTCTGTTGTCTGGTTTGAAAGATTTGGAGCACCGCCCCCTAATGACTCACAGCCCTCTGGTGGAATACGAACCAAATCCATGTCATCTTCCATTATAATAGAAGCAGGGTTTTCCTTCAGGAAATTGAAGGCCTCGCTGACTAATGCTGTTTGAGTTCTAGACTGGCGCCCTGTGGACGATGATTGAGGTCGGAGTTCAACCGCATCCTCGCCGTCTGCTCCATTGCTAATTTCTTGACGTAAACTTTCCCGATCTTCTCGGTCCTGGATGTTGTTCTCTAGAAAGAGTTCCGTGACTTTTTCAATGGAAGTTTTTTCAGTCGCACAAAACTTGTCCCCATTTTTTAAAAGTGTGACATTGTTTAGGTCCTCTCTGTTGATTAAAGTTTTTCCGATTTTAGAATCGCTGATTGATTTTGGGATTAAGTTTTCTCTGTCTTGTGTTCCATTGATGATTTGACTAAGACATTTAATTTGTCTGTCTTCTGTCATGATTTATGGTTGTTCACCATTTCTCTTCTGAAAAAACAACAAATTAATTAGTTGTAGTTAATTACTACTTCATAACAGTGATTATGTGATCTTGGCCAGTGCTTCTGTAGGAATGTGTCTAGTATACAACATCTTTTAACATCTAAGAAGTAGCCTATTTGTGTATCTGTGATCACCTTAAGTTCAAGCTAGAAGAAGTAACAATCAAGTCAGGCTACTAATCAATCATTAGGCTACCTGTTATTAAAACTAAATTCTTTCACAGTAGGCTTATTTTTCTTTAACATGATTTAGATCTAGAGCCAAAGGGTAAATAAGTATTTAAAATTAAAAAAAGCATTAACAACAAAGGATTAAAAATAGAGAAAATGGGGTGGGATGTACTTGAATAAATCTGACATCATTGTCATCAGCCCACTGTCCCTTTTTATAACACTTTCACTGCTACTGTGAGAGTGACACTTGCACGATTCAAATCCAAATTGATTGACAATCCAGGCTAGATCTTGGCCAAAAAACAAACTGTATCTGCTGAAAAATGGAGGATAAACTTCGTAAGCCCGTATTTCATTAATCTAACTGGCCAAAGATTAATTTCAAGCGGTAATACCTACCAAAAACGTTATTTTTTGAATAAATTTTTCTTTAAAGAGGACATTTTTTTGACAAGTGTCCTACTTCCTGTATAGATTTGAAAACGAGGTCAATATCGTCTGCTTCAGTCTGGATGATCGAGAACCCAAATTCCCGACAAATTGAGTCTGGAAAATCGTATCTAATGTGAGTTGTTAAAAATGGCGGGTATTTGGTCGCATTAATTTAGCTTTTTAGACTAAAAATGTCGTAAAAACTTAACGAATCCGATTAAACTTGTGCTTAGTGTATAAACCTGAAGTGTAAGCTCACACTAATAAAAGAAATGAATTATTGAAACGCAATGCATTAAAGGAAAAGACATGTGAAAACATTGGTCAATTTGATTCTTATAAGAAAGTGAAAGTAGACCCCCCTCCCCCCCCAATCTTCTCAGCTCCATCATAGATACTCTTTAACAATTATAAATACATGTCTATGCTCTCTGCATTCCAAAGACTCATTTGGTACAAGTCAAACTGAAAAAGGCTGTTAATTCAGAATTTGTTTAAGCATGGAGATTCTTAAATGATGCTAAGTTCAGTTTAAATTCTAGTTTTAATTCCACTCTACTAGCTAAGATAACAGTATTCAATAATTAATTATATTTCTCTTCATTTCAGGTTTAATAAAGGCCTAACAACAACACCAGCTTTGATATATTTGAATAGAATTGTTATAATTCGGCTGACAAGTAGAGCAAGAAGATGCCTAAAAACACTTCGTCAGTTGATATGACGTCATTCTGTGTAGTGGACCAAGCTGTTAATATGATGAAACATGTAGAAACTTATATCAATGTGGGCATGGAACTAGCTATTGATGTAGCCAGTGATTTGGGAGAATATGAAAAAGGTGATTTTTCCAAGTTCATACTTATCTTTCTTTGAATACGCCAGGGGAAAATGTCTGAGGGGAAGGGGACAAAAATGGGAGGTGTCTCTTTGAAGGCCCAAAGGCTCAAATCCCCTTGAAGCCTGGGGGTCAAGGGAATGCCAAGTGGCAAAGGATGGCGAATGGGGCAATATTTCACTGCTTGAGCACTTTGTACAGGCGAAAGCTAATAGTTTACTCAAGTGTCTGTGTTGTATATTTTGTAGATGCTGTGTGTGTAAGTGAAAGCTAATAGCCATCAAGTCCAAACCACACCCCTATTCATCATACTTCCTCATATAAGACCATGTCAAAAACCCGTATTCAGGATACGACGGCTAATAGCCTACCCTTTAATATTGCTAGGATTATTGTTGTATATTTTAGATACTAAAGGATTATTGTTGTATACTTGTAGATGCTGAAGGAGATTGTGAAGAAGAACTGAATGAAGTCATGTTAGATTATATTAGAATGCAGAGAGATTTTAAACAATTTATAGACTCAGTTGAATACATGAAAAAAAAGGTTGGGGCAAATTTTAAAACGGGTTTGAATACCTTAACAAACGTAACCAAGGATAGCAACAAAGTGAAAAGTTGAAGGAACTTACTCTGTTAAAGGGGAACTGTTTGCAATCATATGAACCTAAACTGTTTGCAATCATATAAACCTAAACTGTTTGCAATCATATAAACCTAAACTGTTTGCAATCATATAAACCTAAACTGTTTGCATCAAGTTACAAGATAGGACTGACATCATTATTATAGGAATATAAAAAATAGACTTACATATTCACTGTTCGAAGGACGTCCGACATCAGAATTTTAATCCATTTCCAAGCCATTTGTCTTAGGGATCTTTCTCACACCTGTTAGAAATCTTGTCATCAGGCTTGTCAACTTAGAATCTCTTCTGATAGTGCTCTCTATATAACTGTATCACGTTCCAGTATTAAAATCTGGCACAAGGTTTGTACGTCATCAAATAATTGATCAATATTCTCCAGGTAGAAGAAGGAGCGGAGGTAGTGAAAATGGAGTCTATTCTACACGAGAGAGTCGCAGAATTAAAATCAACCAATGATGATAGTTTATTTAAAGAACACGAAAAATATCGCGACCTAGTGGAGAAAATACACGAAGTTAGAAATACCGGTAAGAATTATTGCCCTTGTACAGCTAACAATGCTATGATACAGGTACAAAAGTAGGGTAACTAAGGGGCTGAACTGAGACTGACCTTTCTTTGCAATGCAATTATACTGAACATTTAAAGAGATTGTAGAGGTTTTTCAAAAAATTTTAATGTGTATCAGGGACACTGATAGCATCAATTTACACCATTCCAATTTTCTATCAGTTGTCTGTGGTTCCTGCAATTCCACTAATACTAAATCATTTTGGTGTTAGTTGTCATTGAAAATCTTGTCTTCTGATGCAAAAAGACTCAACTTATATACGTTTTGTACTTTAAGATCAAATAAATACAGAAACAAGGGCAATAACTCAGGGTGAAGAAGATGAAGACGTACAAATGACGGAAGATAACGTAGTAACAAAATGTCCATATACAGCTCAAGAAATGACAAACCCTGTTAAAAATAAAATTTGTGGTCATAATTATGAAAAAGATGGTATTTTGGAATATATCTCCAACAGAAAACACAAAGCAAAGTAAGATTTTTTATCTTGAAAAGTTGCCTTTTTTGCACACTGAATGTAGTAGCAATTCTACTTGGTCTCCCTCACTCAGATTCAAATATCTCACATTGACTTGCCCTAATGATTCATAGATATTTCATAGAAACGCCACTGACAAAATGTCATTGCTAAATAACTAACAATGTTTATGGTTTTTGAGTTTAACATCTTTAAGAGAGTCCACATAGCTAATACTGTTTATTTGATATTTATGTTTGACAACTTAGCATCCCTTTCAGAGAGTCCACATAACTAATACTGATAATGTTTAATATTTGATATTTGTAGATGTCCGGTGGGTGGTTGTAATAATTCTAAACCTGTCACTCAGGATGATTTAGAAGAAAATAAAGACCTACGTAAACTTATAGAGAGACAACGACGTCAAGCTGGAATACGAAAATAGTTTTATATATTTATAACAGACTGGTGATAATTATTATAACATTCATTATAAAATCAATTATTGAATCAAATAAAGACAACATACAATTGTTTCTGAGTAGACAATGGAGATAATCTCAAAAACGTATTTTAAAAACAGAACTAAAAATGGATTGTTACATTCAGTCATTAAATCAAATCCATTTAATCAAATGGAAGGCATATACAAGTGTGTTTTGACTTAAATTTGGAGGCTTTGTCTTAAAAACAGTGTCACAATGTGACAACGAACCAATATTTCTCAGTCAGTGTTCATTTTCAAGTCCAGCAGGCCAAGTGTGTGAAATACAAAGCTATTTTGACAGATGTTGGCCAGCTACAGTGTAAAATACTTATGGGATTAGAACATGGTGAATAAAATAATAAAACTGTATATATGTTAAACAATGATTGATTTATTTCAATCTCATCTTCACAGTGTCAGGATATTGAACTGTGTCTTATACATTGACTGCAATAACCACTCATGTTGTAAATGCAGTGATTTTATTGGATGGTACACTAATGAATACAACCAATCAGATTTCTAGACAGAAAGACTTAAACAATTTGTGTGTGTGAAGTTGGTGGTTATGATTGGCTGTTTTCGTCAGCATACCATTCAATCAAATTGCTTCATTTACAAACTTTCTAATATAAGAATAGTGGCAATTGCAGTCGAGGTATAAGACAAAGTTTGTAATATCTTGACATAGTGAGGATGGTGATACAAGAAAGGTGGCTATTGAAGTCAAGGTATAAGTTCAATCTTTGTAAGGAATGTTTATTTATTAAAGATAAATCAATGAATATAAGAATAGTTTGTTATCATATGATACAATATTTACAGTCAGTCAGTATAATTATAGTACTATTAGCCACTATATATCAAAAAATCAACCGGAAACTATTCATAATCAAAATCTGTTCAAGCAAAAAATGGAAAGTACAAGTTGTATAGTAGTGGACTCCTCCAAAGAGAAGTACCATCAGTAAGCCTGGTCTACAATACAATAAACAACAAACGATATGAGATAAAAATATTACACACCACTTTAAACAATACAAAACAAAAACAAGTGCTTGATACATAAAACAAAATCACAATTTTACTTAGTCGACAATAAAATATAATAATACTTCTATTTATTTTTTATACTGTGAACACTGAAAAATGTCCAAAGTGCTTGAGTTTTTATGATGCTTAGATGATGATAATGAACACAATGAAAACTGTTAACAAAAAACACAGGGAAATATAGAATTTATAACACACATCTTTAATTAGTCAACAACAAAATATAATAATACTTCTATTGATATACCGCCTTTCTATACTGTACAAGAATGAGTTTTGATGAAGTTTAGATGATAATGAACACAATGAAAATATTTTAGGGTATAACACACATCTTTAATAACAAAGTACATAACGTTTCAACATAATTTACACGGGTCATCATCAGATGAAATATAAATGTTGATAAATGTCGTTCAAATCGTATTATAATGAAAACTGTTCTGATTCTGAACCGAGGCTAGCTTCACTCAATCTTATTCAATTATAGTCTAGCTGCAAAATTTCTCTTCTACAAAAACTATGTATACATCTTATTCTTATTTTTCTTCCAAAAACACAAAATACTTTTAGCCTCGCTTCTGAATTTCATGTTACAGAAACTGTAAACAAGTGGATTCACTGCTGCGTTGATATAATGTGAACGCAGGAAAACATTGTACACCATAAACGTAGGAATGGATAGAGAGTTCACGAAGTTTTTATTAAACATTTTCACGATTGAGATAGACAGATAAGGGAGATAACTGATAATAAACACCAGAGTAATTAAAAACAACATTAAAGTTGTACGAGTCTTCATTTTCTTGACTTTTTCTTTTTTTTCTTGATGCTGCGCTCGCATTAACAACTTGTCGAAACCTGGTGAAGGTGTGTTGCTAGGTAACAGAGTTACCTTATCCTTCTTGTCCTTCTGTCGTGGTGTAGATGGCGTCGAGACAACTTCTGTATTTTGATCAGCTGTAGAGAGTTTGGTTGGTTCTTCAGTAACATCTGCTTTCGTTTCGACTAGCTCACCTTCTGTATTCTTTTCTACTTTGATATTGGAATCTTTGTGGTCTGTTGCCTCATTTTGTTCTTTATCAGAATGAGAGTCTGGGTTCGTGCTAGTGGTATTACCAGAGCTGGGTCCTGTCGACGAGTTATTAGAGTAAGCCACAATTACAGCAGGTTTCAACACGCTTAATCGCTTACCTCGTAAATTAAACTTACTGTGTTTAAAAACGGTTCGACCAATCAGAATATAGAGAACACTGAGTAACGTCAAACTGGACAAAAATATCAGAAACTGAAATCCCAGGAATAATTTCGGAAAGAAAGCGTTTTGGAAATTATCTGCATATTTGCACTCAGTTCCCAGAATTCCTTCTTTACCTGTTGGAATATTCTTCACCCCATTCAGCATCAGAGAGGGCATGGAAATTCCTAAACTAAGACTGGCAACTACAATGACACATATTTTAGCTATTTTAATGCTGATTTGTTTTTTAACGGCATGACAAATCTTCCTCTGTCTGTCCACCGCCACCACGGTCAGAGAAAATACAGAACTAAACGTGGTAAAATAGTTGAAAAATCTCTTCAGTTTACACAAATGGTTGTTGGTAAATCTGAAATGTAAAGTTATTCATGAGATCAGATTTGACATAATAAGACTAATTGCTCAGTCATACTAGTGGCTAATGTTCTGAATACTCTTACTCATGTACCTAAAATCTCGTATCAAAATCATTTACAAACACTGCTATCATTGGCCGTAATAGAGAGGTTGAACTGTACAAAACCACGCCCACTTACCTATAAGCGTACAAAATATCGAAAATTTCTCCCGGTTGTGCCATGGTGTTATTCATCAGGTCGAATACAGCTAAACTGATAATAAAAATACGAGTTGTGCTGGGTTTAAATCGGAAATAATAGACTAGAATAACCAGAGTGTTTCCAAACAACCCGGTCGAGATTAACGTTCCAATATATACCAGGGTCGGAATCATCAACTTGGCATTTTCATACTCCAAATATTGTAAATAACTCTCAATTTCTGCTTCCGTGTAATTCTCAGGTTGCATTGTAGAATTTCCCCCCTTCCAGGAATTCTCCATTGATCCATTGCTGGTGGAATTCATTGTTCAAGCAACTGAAAAATTAATATTAAAATATAACAAACGTGGTAAGAAACTCTATATCTCAATGAATATTCAGACAAATATAACAGAATTAACAAAATGAATGGAAATTATTGTAAAAAATATCAATGGTATAAGTACTAAAGAAGTTTTATCTTGTAATTTATATATTTTCATTTTATATCTCGAAATGAATGTAATATACGTTTACAAACATATATTTGTACACATATATAATATTTAGGATCTAAAAACAAGCAAGAATAAAACACTTTCTGCGTATCCTTCAGTAAAAATAATTAAGTACCACAGTAGAAAGATCTGGAATAACTCATCTCTTACTAGTAAAAGTTTTACGTAAAAATTACGTGTGAACGAAAGACTAATAATAATATGTCTAGAATATAAAAGGGGGACACCCATATAGAATCTTCATCTCAAATCAACAACTGATTGTCAAAGACGGGGTCAGTGGCTCATCTAGATGAGTGGGAACCCGTGAACTTAAGTGGTTGGGGCACCCCCCTGGAATTTTTCTTAAACATAATAATTATGCTCTCTGGAATTTTTTTTTCTCTGTGGTCTAACAGAGACAAAGTTAAAGAATCTGTGAAATGATATAAGGTAAGTAGGTCTAAGTGGGAGAGTATGTTTAATTAATAATATAAAAAGATGAATAACAAATTGATCAATCACTTGCCTCAAGATCAACTAATTTATTATAAATCTTTTTATTAAAGGGACTTGTATAGAACGAAATATCTACCTCTATTCCAGTCTCTGATAGGTATTATGAAAGTTGTCGGCTGGTGTAGAGACAGAAATACTAGCCGATAACTATCAAAATATCTATCAGAGGCTGGAATAAAGGCCAATGTTTCGGACTAGTGTTTGTTAAGCTTTTATTTACACCATTCTGCTGATCTTCTAGTGTGGGTGCATCAGAGAACGAACGCATGGCTTTTATTTGATAATCCCCCCCACCCCCTTTATCTGGCGTCTAGTAATTGCATATAAATGTGAACCCACTATCTAAAATACTTCACAGCCAATTGAATTTGCACAAAGAGAAATGACTATGATGAATATGATGATGAATTATGATGACGGTGATTAATTGTGATGAAGATGAAAATGACGATGGTGCGGTATAATTTAACGTTAGCCTACAGAACAATCTAAATGGTAGTGTGAATTTAATAAGTCAATTATGACAAAGTGTTTTCATAACTATTACAATAAGATTTTATCTTGAAGTTGTTAAAAAGTCCACTATTCATAATAAATACTTTATATCCAGGTTTTAGGTTTCGTCTGATTTTATCATTATGTTTTTTTAAGTGCAGAAAATAATAAAAGAAAAATTTCTCTTTTTTCTTTATCAACAGCGATAAACAAGGAAGAATATTAAGTATTTGATTGATGAAAAGGGGGTAATATTACAACCATGCACAGCTTTACCCTTTATCTACTAACTTTAGTAGTAGACACGCATTATTATTATTATTATTAACTACAGCGTCTTAAACAACCTGGAATGTTCTCAGTCTTGGATCAAAACTACTGTGCACTACAGTTTTGTCTTATAGATACATCGCATCGCATGTGTCAGGGGTGCGGGTAAGATCAGACCCCATTAATATATGGATATATTGGTCCAAAGCAAAGACAATACCTCTACGGTCTAAGGGAGGTAACCACTATTGACTATCACAATCAACAACTGTAGTCTGTAACCAAAAAACATTCAGCCCAAGAACCGTATACAAAATAATCATAATTGCGTGCACAATAAAAATAAAAACTGTCACTTACCTAAACAATAAAAATCTGTTCCTTACTCGTGTTGTGAAGTCAATTAATTGAATGATTCGGAAACAATGTCATACAGAAAATCACACGCATTCTTCAAGACTAAAATCCGTTTTTAATTACTACGTGTGATATAAAACACTCTATTGCGTCTTGACATAAAGTTTGAAATGTTCCGGGTCGATGGAGGAAAAGCCTATTGTTTTATCCAATAACAGTTCATCTCTCTTGACCTATAATATACTCTCATTCATACTCCATACTCCACTTCCTCTACTGTCTCGACAAATACCACTTCAAAACTTCAAGTTGGATATTCCCACATGTACGATGGATATTAATTTCTTTTTATATATATTATATCTTCTAATCTTATATATTAATGTTCCTGTGGGAACCAGTATTCTTCTTATATATAATATATCTTATAATCTTATATATTAATGTTCCTGTGGGAACCAGTATTCTTCTTATATATAATATATCTTATAATCTTATAATTATATAAAAAATGCTAAAGCAATATGAATAGTACATGTAAACGCTGATTGCAATCAATCAAATCAATCAATCAATCAAACCAATAAATCAAATCAATCAATATCAGATTCTCAAAATTATCGATTTTCATTCCAAATATTCAAACTAAGTGCACAAACAATATTCTCTCACTGGAGGTTACATCTACATAGACTAACTTTGCCTGTCACATAACATAAATTTACCATATCAACGAAATCAGGATTGATTGTGGGTCGAGATATACTAGCTACACATTCTACTAAATGTAGAAACTATTTGTATACATATAACTTTGAACGTAATAGTGGAGGGGGTGGGCGACACCCATAAGGATGAAGCGAACTAGTGGCTCAACCACCAAAGGAACCGGTTGAACCCAGTCCACGGGCCACAACCCTTGAGGGGACCCCCACCCACGAAAAAAACATAGAGAATGCGGGAGAGCTAATGCTGAAAAAAGTTCCCGTACAGGTGTCCACCCGGACCCCCACTTATCTAGTTGGGCTACTGGTCAGAACATGAAGATTCGAACATAAAGCACCAATAGTCAGGCTGAAGGGACAATCCAACCGACTACTGGAGATGTATGTATAAGCCTGTACAAGTTAGTATGACACGATTGAGGAAGACTAGAGATTAACAGGATATCATTCTGACACCCTATTGTCTTCCTATCTTTTACAGTTCAAGGGCGGTGAATGTTGGTGAAAAAACCGCAAAAGTTAACTTAAATACGGACAAAAAATAGAATAAAATTTTTCCCGATATTCATTTCCGAATTTTGAAGAATCAAAAGGCTTCATATCCGAAACGCTGTAAAAGTTTAATCAAAAAGTATTCGATATACGGAAACAAACGAAACTTGCCGATTGATGCGCTATCTTACTTCCGGTTAGAACCTGCCACGTGATCACTTCGTAAACAACATGGCGGACATTTAACATTGGAGAAAGGGAGACCAAGTTTGTTTTCAAGATTTTGCAGGTAATTTAACAAACACAGAGTTGAAATAAGTTTGAAATATGGGAAGAAGGATTTTCCTCGGAAGATACAGCGTTTTCGACCACAAAGCCTATGAAATTATAGTTAAAAACCATTAATTTAGCTCAATGTTTACGTGTCAAGGCACCCCCCCCCCCCCCCCCCCCCCCCTTTTATATCTGGCTTCCCAATTTCTCCTTCCTTGTTGAGTTTACTATTAAGTGCTATATGAATGAAGGATCAGCCAAAGTTAGTTATTATGTATGTTTCTGTATTTTGGTATTCAAACATTCAGAATGCTACAGTGACCTTCGCCCATGGCATTGTGCCATATGGTTTGCCTGACTGTCACTTTTATTAATATTAGAGAGCTTTACTAAACTTCTTATCCTGAATGGTTTGCGATTAACTATCCTAATTACAATATATGATATGATTTTAATTTAAAAGGCCTCTCTTTTATTCTTTCAGGAACTTAGAAGAGTTCCAAGTAGGAAACTGATCATGGCACCAAAAAGTACGAAAGAGAAGACGAAAGGACAGAAACAAATTGTACAGGAAAATAAAGAAACGTTAAATTTTTATTCCTATATTATCGCGGGAGTAAGCGTGGTGTATTTTCTGGTTCAAGTTTTAATATTCTGGAGTTCGTTCACGGCCTTACCTATAGTTCTATCATGTGGGGCATCACTGACTTATTTCGCTGCCTACCGATTCATGTCGTCAATGGCAACAGCTACGTATAGTGCCGAGGGTAGTTTAATTGATGGAGGTACAGATTTAAATATGGTGTCTGGAATGGGAGAACATGCCAAAGATTTGATATTATTAACAGCAGTCGTACAATCTCTTAGTCTAATTTCGAATTATTTCTGGTTGTTATGGTTACTGGTACCTATCAGAGCTTTCTATATGTTGTGGGTTAATTTCCTAGGACCCTGGTTCTTCGCCCCCGGAGAAGAGGACAATATAAGTGACAAAAAACAGAAGAAAATGGACAGAAAAATGCGCCGAGTTCAAAGATGATTGTGAAGAGTTTTAGGATTTATTTAAATATTTTTGCATTTTTTACCTTCCATAAATAAATTGCATTTTAAATGAAAATAAGAAAGAACTAGTCTTCAATCCAGCTATGAAAATGACTGAAAAAAGTGATTTTTTCAGCTTAATTTTACCAAATAAGGACAATTGAAGCCAGGGATGTATTGCCATTTGAAATTGGTATCTTAATGATTGAAGTCTTAACCAGTTGTTTCAAATTATTGATGCACTAAAAATAGTCAGGGTATCACCTTGTGATTGATCTAATTCATTATGTACATGTGTATACCGGTTAAATAATTAATAATACCATCTTGTATATAGCTAATTCAATCAACCCCTCCCTCTTTGACTACTGAGAAAAAGGGGCAGGACTCAGTTACATCCAGCATTTTTCAAATGAACAACAGAATAACCTTCCTGATAACTAAGACAACATCAGGCAGTGTGCAATACAGGGAAATTTTATTAGGACAATGACATTAGCCTGCTTTTTATACATGTAATTGATGCATTGAATTCATTTCTAGAACTTTTGAGAAGCATAGACAGTGATGCTTTTCCCTGGAAAAGAAATGAATCTGTAACATCTCTGTTTATAGACTTCCATGCGTCAAGGAATCTTAAACAGTCTGTTGGACCTTGATTTATTGTCCCATCAAAATGTCAACCTTTTTTTATGTGTCAGTCCTACTTACCCATACATCAAACTAAATGAGAGAGTTTTATGTCTTACTTTTCTGCACTCTACGCTGCATTCAATACCTGCTGTAAAAATTGACCAGTAAACGCAGAGATATCGAAAGAGGTATTATATATTAGAGGGCAATAACATTCAGATTAATAAATAACAAAATAATATTATAGAAATCTTGTTGCTATGACAACAAGCTGTTTATTCTATTGTCTGGTTCCATTACTCTGGAGTTTTTACAGCCTGTAACACTTATCAGACTTGTTTCATAATTCACTTACAACTTAAATAGATATTCAGTACTAAACATTGTCAGATCTGTGTACATTTACTGTCAAATAAAATTCACCAATGTCAAGCTCTTACGAACTTCTTACTTATACCTTGACTGCAATAGCCACCTTTCTTGTATCGTGGAAATGAAGCAATTTGTTTGGACTGTACATACAGCCAATCAGAATACTTGACAAAAAGACGTACTGTTAATGTTGAGGGCTCTGATTGGTTGTATTCACTGGTGTTCAATCCAATCAAATCGTTGCATTCCGAGATACAAGAAGGTGGCTATTGCAGTCAAGGTATAAGACAAAATTCATAATAGTTTGACATTGTGACGATGAAAATCTAATTAAATTCATCAAAAACTATAGACAACTATTTTTACAATGTCGCCAAAACCTCAATGTGAGAAATTGTTAAAATCAGCCAAATAAATAATATTTTTAATTTGATTTTACATTTATCAGGTCCAGCCATCTTTTTTATAAACAATTACTGGTTATTTCTAGGATTATTAGAATTTAAAGATATAACAGATGTCCAAAATAACATTGTAATAAATTAGATTTGGTCTAATCAGCACTTGAAATGCATAATAAATATTTCATTAAATTTAAAATAGTCTTTAGCACTTTTTGATGTTTTGCACAAAACAATACACAGTTGTCTGAAGATCACATAGCGTGAAACTCTGAGTAACAACATGTTTCAGGTTCTGTTTTAATATTTCAAAACAGAATAAATGTATCTAGAAATTTTTCATTATTAGTCAGGTCCATTCTATTTGATGTACAAACTAATATATATATATAAATATAAAATAATATTGGAATTATCCTAAACTGTTGCCATGGTTATTCTTGTTCTTGAGATTTAATTTTGGTTAATAATGCATCGCATGTCTTCTTGGCATCGCCTAGCAACATACTGGTGTTTTCTTTAAAGAAGATAGGATTGTCGACGGCAGCGTAACCCACACCAAGCGTTCTCTTCATTACAATAACCTGAAATAGACCAGATTAACAAGACTTAATTTAGTATATCTCTTTTATCATGACCTTAGTTCATCTTAAACACTTCTTTTAACAGTGTCAATAACATACACCTAACCCTATACCACTGCTAGCCAGAGTCGGACCTCCACCTAATACTTAAGACTCCTCATTGGATGGATGGATTATCGTTTGCTAGGTTAGGTGCCGATGGTTCGAACCCTCCTCAAAGAAGAAAATGATGCCTGTTTCAGTGCTTCCGTAAGTTTCAACTGCTAACACCTGAAGTAATGTAACTATACCTGATTGGCTAACCAGACTCGTAACACTGGCATACCAGCTATAATGGAGTTAGGATCTTCTTCTGCAGCAGAGTTGACTGTATCATTAGCTCCTATTACTAACGCTAGATCAGTTTGTGGGAAATCATCGTTTAATTCATCCATTTCTTGTACAATATCATACGGCACTCCAGCTTCGGCTAATAATACATTCAGTTGACCTGGCATACGACCTAAGGGGAGATAAATGATGTTATCATTGACGATTTCATTATACTACAACATCTGTACTAATCTCATCTTCATGTCAAGCTATTAATACTGTCTAAGCATGTAATACCTTGACAATGTAAAGATATATTACATCAGAACGTTGACATATATTGCATTCAAGAGATTGTAAAGAGGTTTTCATCTTTAGATATCACCGATAACTGTCTTATGAAAGTACCGATACAAAGACTTAAAATTGAGATATGGGGCGAAATCTACATATATCGGTAGCAAGTTTACAGTTTTTCAATCTTTCGTACCAACATAAATACTCGATAACTTTCGTACCTAAATTACTACACTCGATAACTTTCGTACCAACATAAATACTCGATAACTTGCGTACCTAAATTACTACACTCGATAACTTTCGTACCAACATAAATACTCGATAACTTGCGTACCTAAATTACTACACTCGATAACTTTCGTACTAACATTAATAACAGATGTTAAAAGAGTTTAAACTCACCAGCTACTGGATGAATGCCAAACCTGACATTGTGTCCCTTTTTAACCAGAGTTGACACCATCTCAGCTATAGGGTACTGAGCCTTGGCTACACACAGTCCGTATCCTGGTACAATTATAATATTCTTAGCTTCATTAATCATTTCTACAGCATCATCAACATTAACTTCAGTATGAGTACCAGTAATTTCCATTGGTTTACCTTTACCTGTAGAGCTGGTACCATAACCACCAAGGATTACGTTAAAGATAGATCTATTCATAGCCTGAAAATAAACAAGCACCACAAGTTCTTTAGTCTCAAACCATCCTCATACTTATACCTTGACTGCAATAGTCACTATTCTAGTATCACAGCGGTTTGTAAATGATAGCCATTTAGATAAAGTGAATCACTGTCCCGTCTATGTTTCAATAAGGGGTGTGGTTGAAATGACAATGGCTACCGTACTGTTTAAGGAAGAGGTTTTAAAGATACTTACCACACACATGATATAAGAAAGGATAGCTCCACTAGATCCAATCATAGCTCCTACTATTGTCATTAAGTTATTGTTTAACATGAAACCCTCGGCACAGAGAGCCCAGCCTGAATAACTGTTTAATACAGTGATAACAACTGGCATATCAGCCCCTTAAAATAAAAATAATAACATGTCAGTCCCTTAAAATACAAAATAACAACATGTCAGTCCCTTAAAATACAAAATAACAACGTCAGCCCCTTAAAATACAAATAACATGTCAGCCCCTTAAAATACAAACATGTCAGTCCCTTAAAATACAAAATAACAACATGTCAGCCCCTTAAAATACAAAATAACAACATGTCAGCCCCTTAAAATACAAAATAACAACATGTCTGCTCGGTAATATAAAAAAAAAACCAGACTACTTTAGCTAAAATAATATACTGAAAGGCATTCTGGAAATACTTATAAACTTTACCAGACACTGGCACTTAAATAATTTCAGGTAAAACAACTCATTTTATAGGTTGTCTACGCTTAATAAACTATATCTCGCCAGATCCTGATAACTGAGATTTAGCCCATGTTGTTATTATAACGATAACAGGTACCAGTATATTTGTATACATACCTCCAATAGCAGCTGTCAAGGTAACACCTAATATACTAGACAATGTTGTGGTAACACCCAGCATTCCTAATAAAGTGGACGGGTCTTCACTGACCATGTACGTTCCTAGCGCAGCTACACTACTTAATCCCATACCAGCGTTCAGGGCGTTTCTACCCGGTAATAACAGAGGGTCTGATTTTAATACACCTGAAAATAGAAATTAAACAGAGTTGTACTTCTTACTGTTCGAAACGGAACTGAATATTGAGATAATGAATGGAGTTTTACGTCCTACTTTTCTGCACCAAGTGAACTCGTTGATCAGGACTGAGAACCAGAATGAAGAGAGAGAATATTCTATATTACCTTGTAATTTTCCAAAAGCAATCAATGAACCAGTGAAAGTGACGCCACCAATAAAGGTACCAGCAAACAGAGCTCCCTTCAGCACCCCGGCAGCAGGGTCTGTAGCGAAATGTGGTTGTTCTAGTAGGTGGTTTGAGAAGCAAGTCAGGACGGCAGCAGCCCCAACTAAACTGTGAAACAGCGCCACCATCTGTGGTAAATCTGTTACTTCTATTCTCTTAGCAGCGAGACCTCCAATTAATCCACCTACAAAATATACAAGAATTTTATTGATCACAAAAAGAACTGGCATCCCACCTGAACATCACAATCAATAACCATAAGTACATGTCTACAAGCTGACAGCAGAGAACAGTGGCATCGCAATTTACATTTCAAGCAAGCAGACAAGATGGAAAAGATGACTTATTAGGTAACCATTTATGGTTAAAGCAGCGGGAATTTCAGTGTCCCTTTGCAGATTACAGATGGCACTAATCATGGTTCCCCCTTGAAAAGTTTTCCAATGTTCGAAGCTGGAGAATACATATAATACGATGATGCATGGCTCAAAAATTACTACCTAAACAACCACTGGTTGGGTTGACTGGAATAATGAGGAAATAGCCTCTGAAAACTTTGAAATGCAGATTTGTTGATTGTTAATATATTTTCCAGTGATATAAAGTGATATACCTACCTAATCCCATACAAGTAGACATCTGAACTAAAGTATCAAGATCTGGTTTAATAATTCCCAGAGTTGCTGTTACACCTGATCCTACACCAATCATACCCAAAACATTACCTGTAATAAATCAGGATAGTTAAAAGTTAAAAAGAGGAAGGTACTAATAATTTAGCTTCCCAAAGATCTTACCAGTTTTAGCAATGATTTTACAATGATAACTTCCTCAAGGGTCCTGTCTACCAGCTGGTCCTTGGTCAAACCTCTTGACGTTAAGTTTACAATGGCAACCACCTAAGTTCGCAAGGATCCTTTCAAACAGCTGGCCTTGACAATACCTCTTGGCAATTATTTTACAAAAATAACAACTTATGTTCACAATTAAGGATCCTTTCTACCAGCTGGTCCTTGGTCAAACCTCTTGGTATTGATCTTCCCTAGATTATCTATAACCATCTATGGCTAGTTTGACTCAATATTTCGTAAAAAAAATGTTTCTCACCAACTCTGGCTGTTTTTTGAGACGACAAACCAGTCAGAGCTCCAACACAAGACAAACCAGCACCAAGATAGATCATCTGATGAATATCTGGGTAGGCACCGGTCGAGGCAGCATAACCATAGCCACCCAGAAACACTGCTGCTGGGATACCATATAGTTTATTATACTCTGGAGGGTCGTCTGGAAAAGAGAAGAATCCAGTCATGCGATTGGTCACTCACTTAAATCAATTTATTGTTTTATCCAATTAGATCAAAGTGATTCTTAAGAACTAACAATCTAAACTGCAAAACGAAATCTGAAATCTGGAATTGGTGAAACATTGGTAGTAGCAATAGACAGTGCAATTTCACAATGAAAAGTGGTATCAGGTGTCTATCTTCCTCAGACGTCTGTATTTAAGAGTAAAGAGAAAACTCAATAACTTACCAGCTCGTTTGAACATGTCTAACATTCTCTGTGTAACAACAAAACCTCCTCCAATATTAATAGACGAGATGAAAGCTGCAGCTGCTGCTAGACCATGTATAGTATTAGAGGGGAAATAACCTCCTCCCATCAATAACAGACCACCAGCAGCAGTTATACCAGATATAGCGTTAGTTACTGACATTAATGGTGAATGGAGAGCTGGTGTTACTCCCCATACTGTATAGTAACCTGAAATATACAGTTCATGAAGGAATGAATGAATGAATGAATGAATGAATAAACAGTTGGTAATATTTGCAACAGTGAGGAGTTGATCTTATTTTCAAGAAAACAAGAGCCAAAGACAGAAAATATAAGAATGGTGCCACATTAAACTATAATATTACCTACCTACAATACCAGACAGACCAAAAGTGGTAACCATGGTAGTAAACTGAGGGTTAGGTGAGATCATACCACATCCTGTTCAAAAAAAAAAAAAAAAACAATGTTGAAACACTACTCTTTGAAAGAGTCCACTACTAAACAACTTTTACTCCTGATTTTGCCATTCTTTGAACGAGATTTTGATAAATGGAATTGTCTTGCTTGTACAGACAATATTAATTAAAATACTTCGTTCTAAATGAATGGTAAGATTTTTTTTGAGATATGAGGGGGGTGGGACGACAGTAAAATAAGTATCATATCTTACCTACTATAGTACCAAAGCCAGCTGAGTATTTACCAGCACTCTTCATAGTCATATTAAAATAATTTGGTGGGGGTGGGGCAACCTTCTCTACTTTAGCTGCTGGGGCAGGAGGAGGGGCGGCAGGGTCAACTTTAGGTGCCGGTGGTGGCCACATTAATTTACCCTGAAAAATAAACACATTAAATTTGAAAGAGTTTGGATTTTTACATCTTATCTTCCTTCTGATTTGGTTTATAAAAACTCAAGTGTGGAGATATATGATATTTTAATGACAAATTGATCACAAGAATCTTTCAGACACGAGACTCGTGTACTTTACCTTATCAAGAATAATAAAACCTGATTGGCCTAATGAAGACTGTTAACATGCAGTGTGCAATGAGGGAAATTTAGCCACTTGAGAAACACAACCCTTGTACCTACCTCATGAAGAATAATAGATCCACGAACAACTTCATCTTCAAGATTTACATTATAATGTTCTTTTTCTCCTGTAACAAATAAAGATACAAGAGTTCACAATAAAGATGGCTAGTGACAGTAATAAAGCTAGATAACTTCATTGATACCTAACAAAGCCATAGTCTTGAGCTCGTGGATCCAGCGTTGTTCTGTTTCATGTCTTTGGTAGTGGTAGTCAGACTCCTAATCTATGATGTTGATACAAGGATAAGTATCTATCAAGCTGCTCCTTGATCAATTTTCTCGGCATTGATTTTACAAGGAAAACAACAACTTGGCTTGTCTACCAGCTGACCCTAGACCAAAATTCTTGGATTTGATCTTACAAGGAAAACAACTTGGCTTGTCTACCAGCTGACCCTAGACCAAAATTCTTGGATTTGATCTTACAAGGAAAACAACTTGGCTTGTCTACCAGCTGACCCTAGACCAAAATTCTTGGATTTGATCTTACAAGGAAAACAACTTGGCTTGTCTACCAGCTGACCCTAGACTAAAATTCTTGGCTATGATCATACAAGGAAAACAACTAAAGTAGACTTACCTATGGACAGTAAGAATTTGGAGATATTGTTGCCGTATAAGGTACTAGATTGTGTCGGTAGTCGACTAGGGAAGTCCGTGTAACCAATATGGACGACGTCGTTATAACGATATAACTCTCCTGGTTTGATAGTCTCGATATTACCACCAGCCTCAGACGCGAGATCTACAACCACTGATCCTGGCTTCATAGACTCGATCATTTGCTGTAACACAATAAATATGATTAGATACCTGTGCCAGTGCTTTCGAGTTTATGGTGTCAGCATTTACCCTCATATGCCACTAGATATTTTGTCCAAATTTCACACATTCTACTGATAAATGTATTTTTTTCTTCAAAATATTGTCCGTAAAAAGCAACTCTAATGAAGATTTGTAACTTGACAACTAATATCGTAAAGATTTATACAAATAAAATAGAGTTTTATATCTTTACATCTAATATCTAAAGTATCAAGTATCCTTAAAACATGTTCATTGTATTTTTGAGTATAAAGAGAGCATGCCTATTTCACGGAAATATGTTTTGGTGAGAAATTTAGTAAATAAAAAGTTAAAGAGTTATGTACCTTAGAGATGAGTTTAGGAGCAGGTTTACCAGGGATTAGAGCTGTAGTAATCAATATATCTATCTCTTTACATTGTTTAGCAAATAACGCCATCTCAGCCTCGATAAATTCTTTAGACATTGTTTTAGCATATCCACCAGTTCCTTCTCCAGATTCCTGCAATCAAAATAACGCTGATTTATTTTATCTTGAAACTCTTTACAGGGATACTGTTGTTCAGTTATTAGCTTGTTATTCCAGTTGAACCAGCTGTAATGGGTAGGAATAAACTTTATCCTTCATTGATTAATGCCAAGAGGTTTGTCTAAAGATCAGCTGGTAGAATATATCCTCGTGAACCAAAGTTCTTATCCTAATAAAATCTTTTCTAAGATGTTTAGTCAAAGATCAGCTGGTAGACAGGATCCTCGTGAACCCAAGTTATCTTCCATGGAAAATAATTGCTAACAAGTTTATCCAAAGACCAGCTGGTAGAAAGGATCCTCGTGAATTCAAGTTATTATCCATGTAAAAATTATTGTTTCTTTTGTTGTTACCTTGATATTAACTTCTAAAAACTCGGCACCAAATGATTCAACCTGTTCTTTCACAGCCGCTCTGGTATCAAAACCTCGTACAATGGCTCCCAGGTTTTTAGCTGTACCAATAGCTGATAGACCAGCCACTCCTCCACCAATGACTAAAACTTTCGCTGGTGGTACTTTACCAGCTGCTGTTATTTGACCTGGAGACAAATTAAATTGTTAGAGTAAGACAAACTATAAACCGTTTCCTTTCTTCAAGTTGGAATTCTCAACCTAATTTGATGAACCACAGATAGACAATATAAATGGAGTGCATCATCCAGTTTGAACCTGAAGGGTGGGGGAGGGGGGGAGTGGTGGAATATACCAGAAGAGAGAATTTATCTCTGTACAAGCACACTTCCAATGAATCTAGGACAACATTATCCGGTGCTCTTGAAGGACTAAACACACCCTATGAAAACTAAAAAAAAATAAGCCTACTTACCAGCAAAAAATCGTGGAAAGTTATTAGCTGCTTCCAGCACTGCCTTGTAACCAGCAATATTAGCCATAGAACTGAGAGCATCGAAAACTTGAGCTCGACTAATACGAGGAACGCAATCCATAGCAAACGCTGTCATTCTCCTTTCACCAAGTTTATCTACCAAATCTTTATTTTGGGCAGGATACAGAAAACTGATTAATGTTCCTCCATCTTTAAATTGGCTAACTTCTTCCATAGAGGGTCCACGAACTTTTAACACAATATCTGAATGGAATAAATCCTTTGTGCTTTTGATATTGGCTCCTGCCGCGGCGTAATCGTCATTTTTAAACTTGGCTTCCACACCAGCATTTTCTTCAACATTTACGTTAAACCCTTTTTTAATGAGATTCTGTACGGCTGCTGGTACTGCCGCCACTCTTTTTTCATTGGGGAACGATTCCTTGGCGATGCCAATAGTGATATTATTGTATGGAGTTCCTACGACAGGTTTCTCCGCTTTCTGGCAGTATAACCGTGACGATGTCTTCAAACCTTGGATACATTTGACAGAAAGTTTGTGGAATCTAGAACCAAAGTTATCGGCCAATAAAAGGGCCTGCTTGGCTTTCAGCAACATGGTGACTGGAGACAGCTAGCAGCTACTGAAAATATAAAGAAATTTGCATAGTTAGATCCAGGAGTAAAGATCATTGGTCAAAACCTTCTGAAAAATTTAGATCTTGAATGACAAGTCAATTCCCATAAATGAGACCCTGGGCTAGCTACTGGCTTGCTAGTAAGAAACTAAAAGTGCGATAAGAAGTACTATTAGAAGACCATATTGAACTAGTTATAGTAGTATTTAATCGTATCAATGAAAACAGTTTATCAGTAAGGTCACCTATAGGCTACCTACACCTACATATTCCAGGTCAGTCCTGGGTAGATATTAGTAACAAAGAGGGCAGAACTTGGATTATCAAAGTATCCTTAAAGAGGCAAGGCATGCTTTCTCCTCTAGAACTGGCTGATGTTGCCCTGTGACAAGACTGTCGTGTCGAGTCCACACCATTGCCATTGGTATCTGCGAGATTAAGAAAACAAAAACACCAACTTAATCACTCAGTATTTCAGAGAATTTGTGTGACAGCTCCAGTATTAAGTAGGGAGCCCAGTTGATAACCTATGTCATTCAACTATGCATAGCTGTGTCTCTATGCTATTGCTATAGGGAGCTCACTACTCCTAAGCTTCTTCTTAGTCTACTCTTATTTCTCTAGTCTGTACTTGACCTTCACAAGTATAACTTATATATCTAGATCAAGTGCTGACAGGTATAAAAAAGAGCACCGAACACCCACAGTCATAGCAATTCCTGACAGCCCTACACCCAGATCCAAACCACAAACCTGCAACAAGTGATGATTGTAATAACTCGGAAACTGACAGCTGACTTGGCAGTGGCAGTGCCAACATGGACGTTTGCAGGAAAACGTGTCACCCAACTTTCAGACACATTTTCAGCGATCGTAGACATGCGATTGCTTTCATTTTTATCTCATGCGTAAAAATTGCTATAAACTACCGCTGCAAATCAGAATTTGTAATTAAGATCACTTACAAATGAATTCTAATGCTGCATTTGGGCAAAGTATTTCACCTTTGTAAAGGTAACTTCGATTCCTCCAACGCTTCACTGCGCAGAATCAATATATTTAGCCAATGAAATGTCGAGATTTTTTTACATGCGCCCCTGAATTTAGACCGTCCATTAATCAGCAGGGGTGTCAGGTTTTCATTCATGTTTAATAAGGCGTTTAATTAATTGGACCATGATTAATTGATGAGCGGTAGAAAACGATATCAATTAATTTCACCTGATTGAGGTGTTTAGTAAATATCGCCATGGTTGGTGGCCATTGTTGATTTTACCCGCCACGCTTCACCACCTCGGCAATATTACCCGGCACATGTGTCACTTTGACGGTTTCTTTCCACAAAGCACTTGTTAAGATGGCCAGCACCGTTTCTTCAACTTCTAAACTTTTGAGCCGCATTGGCAGCAATTTGCAAAATTATCTTGCGCCTGCTGCCATCAGTGCAAACCACCAAAGAAACTGTAAGTACCGCTTGCTAGCATTTGTCATTTCTTTTCCACGATGAGTCGATAATCGGTCTAAATCTTCACTTCTGAGAAGCATTAATAACCGCAAGAAGAGTCCATTTTCTTATAGTTTCGATATGGTTAGATTGAAGGACATACAAAGACAAATAAATACCCATTGTCATTTTCAAAGTCATCATATAAATTTAAAACAAATTACAACCCAATAATTTTCTGATCAATGTGGTATGATATCTTTTTCTAATTTTCAATTAATATTACCTGCATTAGTCTAGTGCATCATCATTAATGTCAAACATACAAGCACCTGTCATATTTACCAGCAGGGGGTTGGTAGGCTACCAGATGCATAAAGATAGATCATAAAATTCTATTTCATTTCAGAAATTGGCATATATTTTACATGTGGGTGCATTTTATGCAAGGCAAACTTCAGTAGGGACACAGACTGAAATAGATCCGTTTTCTGAAGATCACGCGGCATGATCGAAACTCTGAGTAACAACATGTTTCAGGTTCTGTTTTAATATATCTAATAAGTTGTTGTATATTGTAGATGCTGGTCAGAAGAGAATCAAGGTGGACAAGCCTGTAGTAGAGTTAGATGGAGATGAGATGACTAGAATTATCTGGGAGAAAATCAAGGAACAGGTTGGTATTGTTGTCATGGTGTAGAAATAAGTATATCAGAGGCGTTTGTAGAAAATGAGGGGGCCAAAAATGAAAGGTGTCTCAGAGATAAGGCCAACGCCCCTTCCAATGGCCCCCAGACCACAATGGATTACAGATTGCACATTTATAGGGCTTGATTTTAATTTTCATAGGCTCATAAGGGGCCCAAGCCATCCCCAAAAATACACTACTGTGTATCATATCACAATATAGTCACGTATCAATAATTTACACCTATATAGGATAATAATAAGCTATAGATTTAAAAATAATCTTAGTCTCATATAGGCATATTATATATTTGAAAGTTTGTCCTATATTTAAACATAATATTGTTATATTATACTAGACTGCAAACTGAACATGTTTTAACAGGAAAACTTGTAAGGTGTATATAATACTCCAGGACAATAAACCAGATATAATATTATAATATAACTTAATAAAATATGATATTCTTCAAGCACATTACATTAAACCATTAAAAACTAGTTCATAAAAATATGTCAAGTAGGTATGTGTCCAACCAATTTGTGGTTACTTCTCAACAGAAAGCACTGACTCAGGGTTAAAACAGTGTTCACTAATTGTAGAGATTAGGGTGGTTGAAAGGTAACAGAAGGCACTGGCTCAGGGTTTGTCATGGTGCTGTTAATATTTGTGATGTAAATAGTATAGTTATGTTATTGTTTATAGCAGGTACATGTTAAAATATAAAAATATATGTTATCTTATCTTTATAATCTATTTGAACTCATATTTTATCATTGATAAAGTTCAGCCTAGAACGCCTCCAGTTTACTTTCTACTTTACAACTAGATAATACTAGAAATACTACTACAGATAAACAATTTGATTACATATCTTACCTTGTCCGAAATAAAGACATATTCAGATAAACAAATAAGATAAATAAACAATGTGTTTACATATGAACATGTCTCATATCATGTCCGAAATAATTACATAATGATATTACAAATTGGCTGCATTGACACGCAATAGTGCTACATGTTCACACTTAACACTCACCGTGGCAGTGTTTCCGCAGAGTTTGGACAGTGTTCACCCATGGTTTACGCTATGGTGGTGTTTCTGTATATATGCAGTCAGTGTATGTATAACTCTGTATACGTTTGTATAATTTCAGTTAATTTTCCCCTACCTCGACTTGGATTGTAAATACTATGATTTAGGTTTACCTTACCGAGATCAGACCAATGATCAAGTTACTATCGACTCAGCAGAGGCCATCAAGAAATACAATGTGGGTATTAAATGTGCCACCATTACCCCTGATGAAGAGAGAGTTGAGGGTAAGTACCACCTTACAAGATTTGAGGGTGGGGGAAGGGCTACGCTACTAGATTTGAGGGTGGGAAAGGGGCTACTATATAACCCATTGAAGAGAGAGTTGAGAGTTGAGGGGTAGCTTTGTCTCATACGTGGGCAAGTAGTGTGGTCAGGGAGCTCATGTAAGCTCATTTACTGCGCTAAGTTATGGGGGAAAGAGTGGGCAAAAGCTGAGGGTCAGAGGGGGTAAAGATTTTATTATTACTCTAAATTAAATGTGTCCGAAAAGAGTGAGTAAGCTCACTCCAACACTGAGTTAAATACAAATAATCTTGATGTTATTTTTACAGAATTTAAGTTGAAGAAGATGTGGTTAAGTCCTAATGGTACAATCAGGAATATTTTAGGGGGTACAGTGTTCCGGGAACCAATCATCTGTCAGAAAATACCTCGTCTTGTCCCTGGTTGGACACAGCCTATTGTTATTGGTCGTCATGCATTCGGTGATCAGGTGGGTAAACGTTAGGCTTTAATATTCATAGAGACTTGATTTCAGCTATAAATATCTAACTATTACATGAATCAAGTATGGATATTGGAGGGGAAATATATAAACCTATTTGTTATTACAGTATCGAGCCACTGATTTCGTTGCCCCTGGACCTGGTAAACTAGAGATGATCTATACACCCAATGGTGGACAACCTAATAAAATGACCGTGTATGATTTTAAAGATGGTGGAGGAGTCGCTCTTTGTATGTACAACACAGATGAGGTAGGTGGCGTTAGTAATTGTGCGGATGTATTGGTTAGGATTGTATTTTTGTGGAAAGTACGATAAACATACTGTCCATAGCCAAACGCTGACTACTTGAAAAACAACCATGTACCTATTCAAATCACAACCATAAGTCAAAGTTCACAAGCTACCAACATTGAAAACATATACCTGTCACAATCCATACTTGTATAAGTCCACAGAATAATCTCAATCAGGTAGACATGAAATAAATCTTCAAGTTAATTCCTAATACGCAAGGAGATTTCGAATATAAAATTCAATTTCCACTCCATTTCAGTCTATAACCAACTTTGCTCATGCGTGTTTCCAATACGCCATCATGAAAAAATGGCCGCTGTACATGAGCACAAAGAACACCATTTTGAAACGCTATGATGGCAGATTTAAAGATATCTTTGAAGAAATCTTTGCAAAGTAAGTGAAGAATTTAATTGTTTGAACCCAAGATTAAGTATAATAGCCCTGTTGATGAACTTGTAGCTGATGTAGACTTCATTTAAGCCACTCCCCTTATGGATAGATATTAAAATTTCTACTATCAATGAACCAGTTACGCAAACTGGTGTTTATTTTTCGATAAACTGTAGTTTGTCACATGATATTATGACATCGTCAAAGCACACAACAGTGACACAATCTAAGATTTGTGACAAATTAAAATAATCGATCATATAAAACAGTGAAAATTGTATTAATAAAAGTATCTGAATATAAATATATTAGCATTAGTGGTGTATTGAGCACTATTTTAACAGTGAATATATTTGATTAAAAATGATTTCGTATGTGATATTAAGACGAGATATTATTTTATTTTCAGACAATACAAGTCTAAATTTGATGAGTTAAAGATCTGGTATGAACATAGATTAATAGATGATATGGTAGCTCAGTGTTTAAAATCATCAGGTGGTTTTGTCTGGGGTTGTAAGAATTATGATGGTGATGTACAGTCAGACATTGTCGCACAAGGTATGTCATGGCTATTTCCAAGTAGATATTTCAATTCAGTGTGGTATTAATCAGTGAATAGCTATTACAGGGTCTTGAATGAACCTGAAGCAAGTAATAGGACAATTAAGGAGAAGACATACCCATCAATCTGCTGCACTGAGCTTTAAACTTGATGGAAAAAAAATAATAATACAACTAAGACTAGCTTCTAGACAAAAAATTATAATTAACTTATAGGTTATGGATATCTGTATCTATTATTTACATATTTGTCCCCTCCCACTAGGTGTAATTAACATCATATATTGCCACTCCTACTAGGCTATTATTAACATATTTTGCCCCTCCTACTAGGCTATAATAACATATTTGTCCCTCCCACTTGGTAGTTTGCGATATCAGCATCCGCTGGAAGCGAACGTTCACATGTCATCTACCTACCTACCTCCCACTAGGCTATAACATATTTTGCGCCTCCCACTTGGCTATAATTAACATATTTTGCACCACCCACTAGCTATAATTAACATATTTTGTCCGTCCCACTAGGATATGGATCTCTGGGTCTGATGACCAGTGTATTAGTGTGTCCTGATGGTAAGACTATTGAAGCCGAAGCTGCTCATGGAACAGTCACCAGACATTATAGAGAACATCAAAAGGTGAGAAGATTTCTATTTATAGATATTCTAGATCCCTGACTCACTAACCTGAAGGTCAAGGGTTCCCCCAAGGGGTTTCCCTAGTCAGTGATGCTAGTCGGGGAGGCCGACACGAACATAAGCAGAGCACATTGAAGATATCTTAACAGTTGGGATGTACGAGAATTGGCCATCTTTGCCGTCCTCATTTTTTATAGCACTTAAGCAATCTGTAGTTGACTCTATTCCCTCCCAAGCAGTCAAGGTATAAGAATGTACTAAATGATACTAAATGTTTGCGTTATTATTACAGGGAAATCAAACAAGTACGAACCCTATCGCCAGTATTTATGCCTGGACTCGAGGTTTAGAACATCGTGGTAAATTAGATGGAAATCAAGATCTTCAACGGTTTGTACAACTTGTCATTTACTTGGTTTACTTGGTTTATTTCTATACAGAGTTGAAACTGAAAGCTGTTGTAAAAAATGTTTGAATATCGGACTACATCAGCAAATGACGTACTTATAGATTACATCCTACAGACATTACTGTACTTCACCAGATTAATATTTTATTGGCCATTGGGAGACAAGATTGAGTCATTATTCCTGTTTTTATGAAGCCTGTATCCACTTTCCCTTACGAAATAATCTAGTGAACATGGTCAAGTTTTGTGGCGTTCATAATCTACTCATTAACTAAACTATGAACAATAATTTTGTAGATGGGCTCAATTAATGGAGAAGGCTTGTGTAGATACAGTTGATAGTGGTAAAATGACAAAAGATTTAGCTGGTTGTATCCATGGTCTCAAAAAGTAAGTTTTTTTACCTCAAAAATATCTTAGAATTTAAAAATGTTCCCTGTTATTCTGTGATCAATCCAACGCTTGGGGATTTCTGCCCTAGGACAAAGGCAAAGCCTCAATGGCAATAAACCACCAAGCATTAACGCTTTCAATCCCGAACCAACGTTCCTCTCGTACTAGTCAGTCCTACCCGCTCGTTCATAGAGAGTTCCCTAACAGTAGGGTAAAACTAACCTGTCTCACGACGGTCTAAACCCAGCTCCATTCCCTTTCCCAAAATGGATCCTATATGACACTCTTTGATTGGTTAACAATGATGTCATTTGGACACAAGCGCAGTAGAAAACTTGTCAGATTACAATGGAGACAAAAATATCAGAAATAGAAAAGTAACTGTACTCTAATTTTAATCCTTTCTATTTCAGTGTGACCCCCAGTCATTATTTAAACACCATGGATTTCCTGTCAGCCATTTCTGAAGAGTTCGAAAGACAATGGAGTAAATAAAGTGGTCTTGGTAGACAGCTAAGAGTCTCGCTGACAGTCTAGCAGGAGTTTAGATATATTTATTGGTAGACAAGGCAGCTGCCTTTTCATTTCATTTTCAATCTGTAATCATGGACAATCATTTTATAAAAGATCTAAAATCTTTCGTTGAAAAACAAAACTGACATTTCAATGGAGACAAGATATCAAGATTAAATAACTGAACACAATTTTATGGTATACTACTCCTGAGTTTTATTGTTCGAAACAATATATTTGTTGAAACGTTGTGTGTAATAAAACTAAGGAGTAATATACCATATTATTGTGTTCTAGTATTAAGTGGGATCTCTAAATATCGTTAAACAATGTAAGATATTTAGTAGTATTATAACCAATATATTGCTGTCAGTATATCTCATATTCTAGGGTGCCATAGACAATAACAGTGCTATTTTTGAGAAAATGTTGAAAAAAGAAAATGAAAAAATATCCATTTATTGAGTCTTTTAATTCTCCCCCTCCCCTCCATTTTATAAAGGCATTATAAAGTAGCCTATTGTGGTTGGAGGCCAGGCACCCAATATCCACTAGGAATGCTCAAAGCAACAGATAGCTGATAGGCACAAAGGCAGTTTTCTTTGGTATAGGCCCTTATCTACAGGGAGGCCAATCAAACAACACTAAAATTAACAGAAGTCCAGGCTTAGAGAGGCTGGTCTCAGAAATATATATAAGTTCAAAACAACATGGAACTGCATCATTCAAACTGCTTGGGCCGTATTCAAGTTCTTGGTCAATATTACATGGCCCTGTGCTTTATAATCGTAATTCTTACAAAGCCCTGTGATCACACGACCTTGACTTGAATGTCAAGGACGTTAATGGCTGCCTCCTAGTTGAATCAAAACAAGATGATTTCGCTTGAAGAAGTAAAGGAATTTCTCAATAAAGATGGAACGAAGACTGCCTTGGCTGTGGGCGGTGGATTGCTGGTTGCTTCGGTCGTAGGGTACAAGATTTATTGTAAAGTGTTAGCGAATAGGTAAGGAGATTTTTTACCTGCAAACGTATAGATGTCAATGAATGAAACTGAAAGATGCGGATTCATCCACCTTGTCCATCTTCAGTAGGGATGCAGGCTGAAATAGATCAGTTGTCTGAAGATCTCTACTTGTCCAACTTCAATAAGGACGCAGGCTGAAATAGATCAGTTGTCTGAAGATCTCTACTTGTCCAACTTGTAGTCAGGTAGTAGCTATGCTATATATCTTGTCTTCATCATCCCAACTGAATAATATGTAGAGAGAACAGTAGGATGTAAAACTCTAATATTGATTTATCAACAGGAGAAAGAAGAAATATCCTAAAGATGTAGTAATATTACATGGTGTCGGACGTGGTCCTTATTGTCCTAGCTTATCTCCCTTTGTTCTCAAAGTTGAAACGTATTTCAGAATGAATAGAATACCATATCAGGTAAGAGATGCATTCTAAACTACATATAGTTCTTACATGGAAATAACACACACGAACGCACCGGTAGTTCACAACCATTTTGAATCTCTACGGGATCACCAATCAAATGTCAGCCCTCTCAAGTGCTGGGATTTCTTGAGAAAATGAAGGAATTTGATTGGTTGAAGCAAGTGTCATCACGTCAGGTAAAAAGGCTATTTCGCAAATATTCTAGAGGGCAGTCTTGAGACTGAATTGGCTAAATTAAGAATAAAAGATCATGAAAAACTGACCAGTAGTGTTAAAGAATTAATTTGTGGGTGTATATTTATTTCAGTTAGAACCAGGGTTTGAAATGTCCAGTAAGGGTAAAATACCTTGGATAGAATATAATGGAGAAATTATCAACGATTCTTCCTTCATTATACAATACTTTAACAAGAAACTAGGTATAGATCTAGATAGAAGTTTATCACCCAGAGAAAGAGCTATTGCCAGGGCTTTCCAAAAAATGAGTGAAGAAAACCTATTGTGGTAAGTTGACACTCTTAAAAGGGGCAGGTTTGTGGTTCAATTTGACCTATTGTACTTGACCTATCTAAGCTAAGTTTATCAGTAATAGTGTTCACAGCTTACCGTCGAAATTTGAGTCTTCAAATCCATGTGTTTCCAGAATTATCCACATAAGAAAGTTAAAAAGACAATATGTCTTGCCATATATATTGATCAAAAAGGTTGTCCTTCTTACAATGCACATATATTTCAGGGGTTTGGCATTATGTCGTTGGGTTTACAAGTATGAATCTTACAAATGGATGGGTATCCCATGGTTATTGTGTAAAATGGTTGGGCGTACGGTGAGGAAAAACGCCTTTGGTCACGGAATAGGCCGTCATACCCAACAGGAAGTACTACATATCATGGAGGCTGACATTCAGGCTCTTTCTGATTTCTTAGGTAAGTAACAGTTAATCTATTTAACATAACTTTTAAACTCTCTGCTTGGTGCCGAGTTGAGTCTTTTTTTAGATAAAATCCCCAGGTCCACCAAGGGTCAGCCCGGGGGCAGTTGTTCACACACCGGAAACTCTGAGAGTCGACTCTGGGGCCGTACTGGAACAGAACCTGAATCATGTTGTTACTCAGAGTTTCACGCTATACATTATGACTATTATTTGTAGGAAGTAAGAAGTTTTTGATGGGTGATGACCCAACTGAAGTAGATAATTCTATTTTTGGAATTTTGTCTCAGATGATGTGGCACTCTGTAGATCAACCAGGGGAGATGCTGATCAAAGGTGAGGTTACCCCCCTTTTCATTCCTTTTCCCACATTCATTTTCCCCCTAGAGTTGTCTGTCCTTAACCAGGTGTAGAAAAGTAGAATGTATATCACTCCCTAAAACAATCGCTTTGCATCTCTGAATTATTTGTTTATTTTGTAAATCTCTCCAGCAGTAGGTAATTTTCTATCAAATTGAATGCTGAAACAGTCGCGGGGCCAAAGGGGGGCAGAGAGGGCCTCTGCCCCCCCTCGACTCTCATAACTAAGTTAGAAATTCGGGCAACCTCAGATATTTCGCCCACTCTCAGACGTATACCTGGATCCGTCAGACCCTACTTGTGACCTACGCTAGAGAGAATTTCTCTTATTAAACCTTCATTTTGCAATTCCTTAATTTTTTTGTTATTATTTTTCAGAGAAATATCCCAATCTACGTGATTATTGTACACGAATGAAAGAATTATTCTGGAAAGACTGGAATGACTGTATCACACACGGAGGAACAAGGGAGGCAACTAGATAGGCATAACATTAGATTAGTCTTGATTTACAGGGACCAAGAATTATTGTTTAATATTACATACAGGGAACATCAGGGTTTGTAAAGGGGAAATGTTGTTTTTTTCCATAGGTTGAAGATCTTTTTTTTAAAGCTTACTGCTGGAACCATTTTCACAATGTCAAGCTATTATAAACAGTGTGTTATAAGTATGAAGTTTGTATTACCTTGACATTGTGAAGATGTAAAGAAAGAGACATATTAAAGTAGTTTTTAACTTTGTTACTATCAGAATACTAGCTGTATATCTAATTCTATCTTAGTTGTTATTTAGTGAATCAGGCCTCGGTATCTAAACTAGTTTGGTTGTCATGGTGACTAATACATATATCTTTATACATCTTTACAATTATATTATATTATATTTTAATAAATCATATACTCAGTTTATATTAGACTCTCTTTATTTATACTGTTATATCCCTCAGGTCAGTCACAGAAGTCTGTACACAGTTTAACATAATGATTATAGTCTCTGTAGTTGCTGGCGTACAATCCAATCAAATTGCTGTCAAAGGCGGTAATTGCAATCAAGGTATAAGACAACGTTAATAATAGCTTGAGATGGTGAAGTTGGGGGAACTATACACTAAGGGAAAATGTTGATAAGGGAATACCTTGTTATAAAACCTAGAATATCTTGATATCTAATCACAAGAGGATGTTGAATGTAACCTACTAGAGGAAGTTTTGATAAGACAAGAGATCTGTAGTAGATAATAAAATAATCTTCTGTACCCTCAATAACTGTATTAAGATGGGACCCACCCAACCACCCTGCTGTAATTAAAGAGGTTGTAAAGATGTTTTCTTACAATTTTGTATGTGTTTCAGGGACACTGATAGCATCGATTTGAACCATTGTAATTTTCAATCAGACGTCTGTGGTTCCTGAAATTCCACTAGACCTTTGTGAAAGTGAAGTTATAAAACACTTAGATTTAATGGAATAGCAGGAACCACAGACGTGCAATGGTGCAAATATATGCTATCAGTGCCCTATACACATAAAAAATATAGAAAACCTCTTGACAATCTCTTTAAGATGGTATCCACCCAGCCACCCTGCTGTTTTAAAGATGGTGTCCACCCAGCCACCCTGCTGTTTTAAAGGATTATCATGTATTAAAAGCAGAAAGTTTAAAATTATACCAATATTTCTCCAGTAAGGTACAGTAACACTATTTTACATGATTATTTCATTAGACCACACTAACTGAGATATAAAACTAAACTAAAGTGTGAAGCCAGCACAGGGTGAAACACTTGTATAACAACATGTTTCAGGTTCTGTTTTAGTCATCTGAGGACTACACAGTGTGATACTCTGAGTAACAACATGTTTCAGGTTCAATTTAATATTTCTAAAATTTAAACTATATTGCTTAGCTTGGAGAAAGAACTCCATCTTTAAAGTTCTCAAACAAAAGTTATGATATGACCCCTAGGGCAAGCTGTCATTCTGTCAGTTTATATGTCTATATAGACACTAGTATTTGTCTTAAATACCCCACGGCTATCACAATACAGTAGGTAGGTAGGCATTATCATTTACTTTATTGTAAAACACTTTTCAAAATGAGAAAACTTGTCAAAGACTTCTTTTCTAATTGCAGATTTTTAAAAAGCCAAATTTGTGAAGCATTTTCATGTTTTAATCACAGAATTGTGACATAATTTATCTGAAAGTTATAATAAAAGTATTTAGTAGTAATTTTTGAGTAAAGTGACAGTGTTTTTCTGGTTATATCACCATGGTTATTTATAATAAATATATAAAATCAAAGAAATATTATGAAGATAAATCAAGTTTATTTTTGTATAAATTTGACAATAAGGTTAAATTGACAAAGTGTCATTCAAAATAACATCATTTTTTAGTATTTGACGTTTATTTTCTCACAAAGTTTTGACATTTCTTTCAATGTTACATGATTTTTATAAAAATATCTGGAGCAGTGAGTAGAGCAATTTATTTTTTTACAAAATGACATTTTTGTGTCTTTAATTTCAATGCAAAAATTATTTGCAAAGTTTGTGGTATTGAAATAATTGAAGTTTTAGCAAATAGATTGATAGTAGTAAATAAAGTATAGACTATCATTGATATGTTTTATTATTCTCTTTTATTTTCATGTATAAGCTTATTTCCTTTAATTTCAGAACTTTGAAGTGCCAAAATGCCAGCACCAAAAAAATTTGAAAATAATCTGATGGCAGAAAAGTCAGATGATTCCTTGGTGCCAATATCAGAAACACTTCAACAAAATACTATTAAAATTCATCCCCACACTAATACTGATCATATCACTTCTCTATCTCCTCCCAAAGTGACCCCGAAATTCTATCCTCACGGACAAGATGGACCGAAAAGAAAGATAACTCCAATACTGACAGCACCAGCTTATACCAGCCCTCAACGGACCCGTCGATTTGGAAAAACTGATAATGTCTTTAGTGAAATCAAACTAAAAACACCAAAAAAAAGGGCAGTGGAAATTTTCGACAGTTCTAAAATGCGTGCTCCAAAACTTATTCAACCATCAGGATTACTCAGTTCCAAAATTGAGGAAGTAAACCCACAGGACACTGTGAAAATGGACGCTTCAAAAGTTACAAAAACAGATCCAGTTGAAATGAAAATTGCTACAGATACTTCTAATATGACGTCTGCCAACAAAAATGATGATAAGGCCACGAACTCTGCAAAGAATAATAAACAGGATTCTAAAATTTCTCCTCAGGAAAATCTCGAAGAATTCAAAACAGATATTTCTAAGGAGCAGAAAGCCCAAAATTCAGAAACCAAAGAAACAGTTTCTCCAATTTCAGAACAAATTGCTCCCAAACCATCAGCAGATATTCCCAAACCATCAGCAGATATTCCCAAACCATCAGCAGATATTCCTCAACATTCACAGACGTCTCTTCAACAAAAGCTTAAGATGCCAGAAATAATTGTACTGGATAATGTTTCTATGTCCAAAGAAGCCACTGATAACCAGACTGTATCTCAACCAATTCTAACCACAACTGAAACTTCTGGTAATAGACATCAGACTATTGCTATTTCAGTGGCAGGTCCAAACGTGTCTAGGACATCAGGTAAAGCTGATTTTGGAACAGACTCATCCTCAAGAGAGATTCCTGATCCAACCCCTTCTAAGACGGCAGGACAAAAAATTCCTGAAACAACTGATATGTCAGCTGGGGGACAGAGTAAAGGTTCAAAAGAGTCCTCTGGGAAAACAATTACTGGAAGAGAAGCATCTGAAGTATCAGCATCCAAAACCAACCAACCGAAAGAAAATAATGGTAGTGAAGTATCAGTAAAAGAGCAGAATGATAGTCCAAAAGGATTCCCCACATCATCAGAAAAAAATGTCTCTGATGGACAAGCTGAAAATCCAGAGGAGGTCATTAGAAATACAGTTCCTAAGGTTTCAGCTCCAAGACAGACTCTAGTTTCAGAGGATTCAACGCCAAAGGATGTTCCCATAGAAACATCCTCAATTCTTCAAAGCTCAGTATCTGCCGTTGACCACAACACCACCTCTATGGGAACATCATTAAGTATCGAAGACACGTCAGAGAAAGAAAAAGATAAAAGAAATTTAGCAGTTTCAGTAATCAGCGTGTCAAAATCAAAAGGAATCGTTACGAAACATAACGGTTCATCTTCGCAAGCCAACGAAGCACGATCTAAGGGGACACACAAGGACCAAAAGTCTGAAGAAACTACTATGGAAAGGGAACAAAAGTCTCTTGATGGCCAAAAGCCTCTTAATGATTCATCTGATTCACACAGAAACCATGGTCCAAGTGAGACACTGGTGCAGAAAACTTGGGATCGAAATTCTGAAGATGCTGGAGTCAAAGACCAACAGTCCACTGAGATGTTAAACTGGTCTAAACCGAAGGATGTAAAGAGGAAAACGTCTCTACATATCATGAGCACAGCAACAGAAAAGAAGCGAAGAGATTCTGTAGCTTATTTACCCACGAGACCAACTCCTGCTCCAACCAAACAACGACGAGTCAGCCTAGCAACAAACCCTTCCATCCCTAAAAGACGAACAAGTGTACATGAGCAACTGTCAACAAAAACTGAGGTTTCAAAATTTTCTCAAAAGCTGACAAATTTGCTCAAAGAAAGCGGATTTGGTTATAAATTAGAAGAATCATCATTAAAATTGGAAATTCCAGTGTGTAAAATCAGCAATGATCATCAAGAAATTCAGGTAGTATCTGAAACAAGTTTAAAAGATGGTGTACGTTCGTTAAAGCCTGGTGTCACCATCTTGAATGATGGCTGGTTGGATGAAGAGTTCCTAACCTTGTTGAAAACTAGACTAGAAACAGGAGGTGAGTATATTTGTCTTGTTGTTCCCTAGTCACTAGGTCAGAAGGTTATCCCCTTGGTTTGATTATGTGATAAATCGATACAGTGCCTATAGATTATTCAGTTTGGTATGTCTCTAGTTGTATGAGTGAGGCAATAAATTGAGACCTTTGATAATTAGAAATGAAAAAACAGAAAAATAATGCAGCAGAGATGGCATAGTTTCCCTCATTTCTCACAGGATGTTTTAAAAGTGTCCAGTCATTCAAATGAGACAATAACTAGTTTTAAAAATATGTCACTCAGGTGGATGAATTGCCCTGACTGCTCACTATAGGATGTTTTCGGGCTTCATGACAACTTGACTAACAAGGTAAAAAACTAAATCTAGGCTTGGCATTTCCTGTAAACTACATCTTTAGGTCGGTGACAAGAATGTTGTATTTACTATCAAGGAAATATCTGATTACTAGTCTGAGTGGAAGGAAGAAACCACTTGTCATCAAAAACTCTCTCTACCATTCATTCATTCATTCATTCAAAACCCACGACAGGAAATATACTACTTGTTAAAGGAGCATTTACCCTATTTTCTCTATTTCTTTTGATAAAGTTTTCAACTGATGTATTATATACTTGTTGATCAGAGCATATCCCATGGGTTGAATGTTAGACAGAACTATGTTACCTTGGTGTAATGGATCTAATTCTGACCCATGTTAAAAAGAGTGTATTATAATTATTAGTATTATTATTATTACAAGCAGACTAAGATACTTTATATAAAATATTTTTACTAATTAACCTTTGTAAAATATGTAGAACTCAAATCAAGCACTCATTGATATTTATTTAATATGTTTTGAAGTTCGAAGCCAGACCTCTGATAATTTGAAACTTCGATAAGACGTTTGATTTTTTAAAATTGGATTTAGAATTACAAATAACCATATTTATATAAAGATATTAATTCTGACAATCTATTTGATTTGAAGTGAAAATTTCTGAGTTAATTTAGTCAGTTATTTTCATAAGAAGAAATTGGAATAATAGGATTTATACGGAAGAATTTAAAATGAAATTAAAGAGTCTATTTCGACAAGGTAGGTGTTTAAATAATGTGCTCTTTCAGAAAAATTCTTTTTTGGCTTTAATGAAACAAAACATTTTTTATGAATTCAGGAATAATTTATTATTCTGTTTTAGATTCTATTAAAAGAAAGACTTCACTGACAGAACTAGTTCCAGAAACACAATCTAAAGACATACAGAAAGGTAGAAACATTTTATATCTTCCACTGACATACTTATCGAAGAGAAAAGCCATCTTAGATTATTCATACTGACAATATGTTAAAATGATATTAAAATTGATCAGTTGTCTGAAGATCACATAGCGTGAAACTCTGAGTAACAACATGTTTCAGGTTCTGTTTTAATATTTCTATATATTGCTGTATAGTAGGGATGCAGGCTGAAAATAGATCAGTTGTCTGAAGATCACATAGCGTGAAACTCTGAGTAACAACATGTTTCAGGTTCTGTTTAAATATTTCAATATCGCTCTATGGTATGGATGCAGGCTGAAATACATCAGTTGTCTGAAGATCACATATTGTAAAACTCTGAGTAACATGTTTCAGGTTCTGTATTAATATTTCTATATCACTATGTTATATATTTTTTAAGATAATGAAGCAGTACAATTATTAAAGAAATGAATGACAACCCAACAGATTATGATATACAACTTAAAAACTCTCAGATTATCAGCAAATATTTTGATGGCGGTAAGACATATTTTTAAAAAGAAGACTTGGCATTTAGATTCCCAGACTTCCACCTTTAATCACATCACAGCGGTGGGATATTACGTTTAGGCTTTGAGCCCAAGAGCCTTCCATGAGACCCTCCCTCCACCATCTTTTTTCATCATGTGACTATTATTGACTACAATAGATACATAGAGGTGGGATAAAACTGTTTGACCTTGAGATTAAGATCTTTAAGTACACCAATTTCCCATTGAGTGTCGTCTATAATAGTCTATATTATAGACAGTGAGGGGGGCTGACGGTACTTTGTACCATTGCTAGTGCCATGTTAACAAGATAATCTAAAGATAAACTATTATATTGTATTACAGACTGTATTAAAGTATTAGTCAACAAGAAAGATATAATACAAGTTATACTGACTGCTATCACAACTTTTCAAGATAGACAATCTTTACAAACTCTAGCTTGTATGTCTTTATTAAAGATAGCCTCCATTTCAGGTAGGTACCAACATATCATATGACTTCATGAATATTCATTACTTCAATCCCTATAGGGAAACATAGTAGAATAGGTTATAGTTTCGGACACATTGAAAAGACGCTGGTACAAACATATCATGTGACTTTATGAATATTCATTACTTCTGTCCCTATAGGGAAACACGGTAGAATATGTTATAGTTTCGGACACATTGAAAAGACGCTGGTACAAACATATCATGTGACTTTATGAATATTCATTACTTCTGTCCCTATAGGGAAACACGGTAGAATATGTTATAGTTTCGGACACATTGAAAAGACGCTGGTACAAACATATCATGTGACTTTATGAATATTCATTACTTCAGTCTCTAACTCAAGGTTTACCTAGTAAAGAGAAACACGGTAGAATAGGTTATAGTTTCAGACACATTGAAAAGACTCAGGTACAAACATAGACACAAAAGCTGTCATGGTTAGGATGCAAAAGATAGGATTCTATAGCATTCACATCACAAGGACATGTGATAGACGGATCTACCAACCTACGAGCACAGTCAGTTAAACTTCATGTTCAAATAGAAATTTACAGGCATATAAGATAAAATATTTGGTGGTATGATTGCAAAGCATTTTCCCTTTTAAAAAACCAACATTAAAGAATGATTATCTCACCAAAAGTCTTGACAAATAACAGAATAAAACTTGTTTAATAAATACATGTACGAAATAACAATTTGTGTATTTTAGAATCTAACTGTGAGATATTAAAAGAATGTGAAGGGTTGTCCACACTAAACACAATATTTAAATGTTATAATGATAATATTACAGTACAGAAACTTATCTTGACTACTTGGGCTTATATGTCAGCAACAGGTAGGTACAAATAGTCCCACCTTTCCCCTACTATAGTCTAAGATGTGCCATGAACCCAGCTCTCCCTTACCATAGTCTATGAGGAACCCATCTTTCCCCTATTTTTGAATTGTAAGTGTCAATAGGTTTTGATTTTAGATTACTAACTAGAGCTGGTGTAACAATTGATGATCTGAAGATCGCGTATTGTGAGTAAGAACATGTTTCAGGTTCTGTTTTAATATTTCTACCACCTATGTTATATATTGTAGAGAGTTTATGTAAAGACATGTTAAACTATGGTATACACACAGAGATATTGGAGACCATGTCACGAAGACCTGATGATTCTAATATTATTAAACAGTCTTGTTTTATACTAGCTAACTTAGTTAATACAGGTCAGTTTCTGAGAGTTCACAAGGTTAAATATTACAATGTCATAAACACAAACAAACCTTCAACTTTATCATAAATCTTTACTTTGTGACCTAGGCCAGTGCTTTCATGAGACAATGTTCTCATCACCATCTAACACAAATTAATAGCTGTTACAAACTTCGTACTTATACCTTGACTGCAATAACCACCTCTCTGGTATCACAGGTTGCAGCAATTTGATCGGATTGTACCCAAGCAAATACAGCCAATCAGAGGTCTCGACAGAAAAGCTGTAAACACTATGAAGCCAGTGTCTATAAAGTTTTAACAGTATATATTTATCTAGAATATCTGTAATATTTCAGAAGAAACAGCGAAACAGATAATGCTGGTGGGAGGAGTCCATACTGTTATTAATGTCATAGAAAAATATCATCAACATTCAGCTATACTAGAAAATGGTTGTCGAGCTCTCGGCTCTTTCGCTGCTTTCGGTAACTAATAATTTCTTTCTTTTAAATACAGCGACTGGAATGCTAAGCCACGAATGACATGAGCCTTGAGTAAGGATCTGGCATGATGCAGGACTTTTGGCTGATAAAGAGGGGCCTTGAGTGAACCAGGAGTTTGGTTGGTAAATAAAGAACCTTGAATGATCCAGTCTCCTTTAGTTCTCAAGTCTTCAGCAGTCACTTATCATTAGTAACTTTTCTTATTTTCAGATGAAACATGCCTAGATGTCGCCCAGGCTGGAGCCACAAAAACAGTGGTATCAATATTACATGATACAATAGAAAATCTGTCTGTACAAGAGTGTAGTTTATGGGCGTTGGCCTGTCTAACTTCTATAGGTGAGTCTAATTTTACCTTCAGTTGAGACTCGTGGAAACAATGGCTTCACAATTTTTTGTACCTTCAACAAACTACATTCCCAGGGTTAGAGTACGTTCGAAATATATGTTTAAAGACTAGA